GAGATTATTTATTGATGCGTTTAGATACAGTACAAAATGAAATCCATTAAAAGTCAATAGAATAACATAGTTTTATAAGGTAATAAAAAAAGTTGTTATATATATACCAATAGTTAATGCTTAAACTAATTGACAGTATACCAAAGAGTATGTTGTGCACTCTGATCTTTTACTGTACATCACAAAAAATACACTTTAGTGTTCAGGTAAACATACAATCTACTGAACACACATAAATCATAAATGAAAGATAATTTTAACACAATTATTTACCATCCTAAGAGGTGCGTTTACTTAATTCAAAAGCTCTACAATTTCATACAGGTTTAAATAATCAACAGTGGAAATTTAAAGTGTTAATAAAGTTGTTTAAGAAGCAAAAGTGCATGTAGAAACAAAATCGTGCAACAAGTTGTCTAAAGTCCACTCCTCATCTTTTTCTTTTACATCCTCTTCCAAGCACAGCGATCCTGTTAGTAGAGACAAATTTATGTCATTACTTTTACTCAGGTAGAAAAACTCGTTGGGAGCGTTTTCTTGGGTCAGCTCGTTGGCCAGTTCCTTGTATGTTGAAGGATTAATGAGAATTCTAGAAAACGTTGAATTATTCACCAACATCGTGCTTGGTACATGTTACACACGTGGGTGGTTTGATTTCGGTCGGTCGCAAGATATCTTCTTGTATTTCGTCTATATCAGGTATGATTGGAATGTCAACATCGTTATTGAAATCGATTACATTATTTTCGTTGCGGAATCTTTCACTTAAAGAATAATATTAAAAGAAAATTGTGTGTGAAACATTAATTACTCGTCTTGTAAGGGTATGCTCCTAAAATGAAGACAATATTAACCCGATGTGTATCACGTATGGCTTGTACCTCGCCGCGGTGTTTTCCTCTGCCCACCCGCTTGACCTTTGAGGATGAGTGCTTGTAACTGGCGATCCTATGCTCATACTTTCAAGAGCCCTGCTAATCAATTCATCGCTCGACTCGGGGCTGTTTGGTTTTGCAGCTCTGCGGCCTTGTTTTACTGCAGACTACAAATACGAAAAGTCACAAAAATTGTTATTCTTTAGTTTGATGTACCCGTTTTTCAACTAAATATTTTATATCTTCTTCCAAATTCATACTCGTTTAATTTGAGGGACACGAAAGAAACGGCACAAAACACAAACTAAGCTTGGTTTTAAATGTGAATTGTGTACATTGAGGTGCAAGAAGTGGTTGCTATGGAATGCAGTGGCGTAACTACAATGCATCAAAGGTAGGTACGCAATGAGGACGAGCCCCGACTTAAAATAGGCTCCGGAAAAAAATGTTCAAAAATTTAATTCGTTTATACAACATTCTGAAAAAAATTGAAAAAAACGAAGGGCCATGCACATGCTTACTTTTACAGTTTATAGTTACAGTCCGAAGAAAATTCTGAATCATTGTTCACGGAGGGTAAATAAATAACGAAGTCTCTTACATAAAGTACATGAAATACTTTGTTAATTAGCGAGACCTTCTCCAATCCAGAAGGTATCTGGAGGTCCTGGATATAGTAACCTTAGACTGAAGTTGTATTTCGAGATGAGTAATTTTAACACTCCACCTCTGTACGAATTAACAGACATTTAAAAAAGGGCAGATTCATACACAAAGAATTGAAGTCGCTAATCAGTAATCAAACTAAACGAGTTTAAACATCGAAGGAACTGGCCAATATTAAACAAATCAAAATAAGGATAACATTTAAAATGAAACAATTAAATAACAAACAAATTCAGGGATTACGCACCCCTAGTTACAAATAGTCACAATAAAACGAAGAGTTACAAATAAAATTAAGAACATTATTACCTTTTGTTATGGCACACAAATCTTGACAGTTAAAGTTCGAACAAAATCAATTGGATTCTGACTGAACGCAGTGACGCAAAATGTTACAGTGGATCTGTGAACCATTGAATTACAAAATGCTAAATCAGCAAAGCTAAATCAAGACACTATTTCTACATATACAGATTAACATCGTTTAAAAATTGTTGATATAAGGAAAGGGCCCCCAAATATTTTTGAAAACGGGCCTCTAAAATGAAGTTACGCCACTGATGGAATGAAACCATGGTCATTTACAAGGCAAGGAATAATATGCACTTCAACGTGTAGAAATATGCGCATATACAGTGAGTTTTTTTAAATTGCGAACATATGGAGTTTGCTGCAATGTACATTTCCCTATGTTCGATTTTAAACAAAAACGACATCAATCTATGAAGTGTGCGCGGTTCAACATTCCCAAAACGCGCAATTTGTGTGATATGAATAGCACCAGTCTTTTATGATGGAAAGAGCACTCGGTAAAGATTTTTTTAAATACAGCCATGTGAGGCGCATATGCAACTTTAAGGATATATTTTTCTTAAACTTACGATGACTTGACTTAACATGGCAATGCGCTGACATTCACAATTCATTGTGAACCAACCTTCAATTATTTGTAGGTCAATGTGCACCTGGTATTCTACTAATTTGATTTATTCAATACATAAATAAAGAAAATAAGAAAATATAAAAAAACAATTACAATAAATGTTCGAAGTGTCCTCCTTGACATTCTAAGCAATAACCTAACCGATTTCGTAATTAAATTGGACGGCGGTATTTTTAAAAATGTGACAGCTGTCAATTGTATCTACTACTCATTTGAACTACTCAATAGATGATGTGTTTTTTTTAAATCGAACATAGGGAAATTACATTGCATGCAAACTCCTATGTTCGCAATTTTTAAAAAAATTCACTGTATATGCACAAAAATAGTGATAATTATGCACCAAATATGCATGATGTTCTTTTAAAATGCACAATTCTTCCACAAATTTTGGTATTTAAAACAACAGGTTGCAACAACTTCATACCATATTTTTCCAAAAAAATGCACAAAATATAACCAAAAACTAATTAATTTCAACTTACACTAAATAACTCGACTTAATCTTTATTTTTTAAGGAACTAAACCAATGTATAATTAAATGTTTTTCGCAAAAGTTTCTTGCTTTGCAATTTTATGATAGGCCAGAGACAAAAATTCTTTAGAAATAACTACACAGGGATCAAAAATGCTTGAATATGCTCTTGATAATATTTTATGCACAAGGGCACTGAAATATGCAAAAATTAATTGGGTTATTTGAACTCTATTCAAGTTGATCAGCAGATCCATTTTATATTGGAGATTATGTTTTCCCAAAGTGTGAGCGCGCCCGTTAAATCAAATTTTGGATGGAGTTAATTCCATAAATGCACAAATATGAGTTGTACCTACCTTAGAGAAGAGGTTTCTTCCAACGTGGGGATGGGGGACGTCATTTTTTACCCCAATTCAATCCTAGTCGAAATTGAGAATATAATCTATGAGGTTTTAAAAAAAAATGTATTATAATTAGATCAAAAACGTTAATCTAGATATCCTACATCAAAATAAAACAAATGAATGTGTAGGTACTTTTGTTACCATTTTATTGCTAATTTCATTTTGTCTTCAAGGTTTAATAAGAAACGTAAACGTTCATTTGTTTTTTTATGTAGTATATCTAGATTAATGTTGTTGATTGGACTATACGTTTTTTTGAAAAATGTTCTTGTATGTTACATCATCGAAACGAGAAAAAAAATCTCTATCAAATGAACCTAATGAAAAGGTGCACTGCCATTTAAAAAAATTCAATTGTTATTCGTTGCTCATTTGTTTTCTGAAATTAAAACAACTGAATGCTGCCTTATTATGGGAAATAAAATGTTAAACAACTTTCATATAGCAAAATGTTGTATACATTTGATATTTATTGAGATATTTACTTTATTATTCCATACATAATGGGCACCCTGTACTTGGTACCCTTAAAAACCGCAAAGGAGTCCGATGTATAGATAGACGTAGCCAAAAAGTAGCGAGCTTATTGATGCAATCAAACAATAATTATGTATTATGCAACGAGCTCATCCTTCTTTATGGTAAGTGGGTACTTACCGTACCTGGTACAAGAAGCTTTACAAAATTGACGTAACTACCTACTCAACCGCCAAATGGCAAAATTTCGTAGTCAAATATTTGTGGACCCTTCTCCTCTTTAATTTTTGTTTTTTTAATTTTCCGTTGCAATATGCGCTAGTTTTTTTCAAAATTGCTACAAGTTACGGATGAGTAAAAGGGCCATATGTCTCCACCTCATAAAAGTTAGATAACGTCATTATTGGCGGCAAAGCTACGCGGGAACGTATAACAATAAAGCCCTACAGAGCGAATAATACAAAAACAATATCCACCTCATCTTCGTGCAGGTCTCAAGCCCAACAAATTACATTAGGGGCACATCATCTTTATGAGAATACCTACATTATTGTTGATCATCGATAATAACATTAAAAATCCACCTCTTTTGGACTTTTGCAATATTTTACCAGGAACCGTCTTGGTGATTTATTATTAACATGAATTTGCAATTTAATGTTGCAAAATAAGTAAGTCTTCAAATACTAATAGTTTGACTTTTTGTTGAGGTCACGAAAAAGTCCCCCTCACCGTTATACACCGGTCGCAAATGAAATCAAGTTTGGCCCCTCTTTTTACCACACTATGTCGCTATATTTCACGACCGCCCACTAAAGAAAGTAATCCCAAGAAGCATTTGCCAGAAAAGTGCAAGAAAGTAATACTTGACCATATGCAGACGGTCTGTGGTCTGCAAATTTACCATCGGCAGATGGGTTTGGATTACGGTGACAATGGCTGCTACGTTAAAGAAAGCTAATGGATTGTGTTTAATCTTCTATTATTGTTTAAGTTTGTGCATTATTAATTTGGGTAAGTGCCAGTTTAATTTATCCCGAATTACCCAAAAGTGTCAACATTAACGGAAATAGAAAGTCTATTTTAGAAAGTTTTAATTGATTGAGTAAAGTTGCTAAGAGACCACCTAGAAGAAATTCTGTACTTAACCATTGTGGCCCACAATTACATAAGTTCATTGATGTTTTGTGAAGGTGCAGAGGTGCTCCACCAGAAGATGGGCGTGTAAATTGTAACAAATATTTAAAAAGTTGGGCCTTGAATATGGTTATTTATTACGTTTCTTTAGGTGTGCATTCCACCGATCGAGGTTGAAATGGAAAGTACCTACGATTTTAATGTTGTTTATTATGTTTTTGTAATTAACACAAAATTTAGGAAACGAAAATCGGATACCATTTTTGGGCCCTTAAACTGCATTCGATCCAATTAACTGCGGTAAAGTGCCATATATGACTATTGCTTTAAACGTGTTAACCTTTTGCGGTAGGTACTTTTCTTTGCCTTGACCTTCACCAAACCGTTAAATTCCTTAAAAATTCAAATTGTTTTCGACCTTGTCGTTTGCAGGGTCAATAGCGGCACAGAATGCGGATAGTAATGTAAAAAAGAAAGATGAAGAATTTACGTGTCCCGAGGGACTGGGGAATGGTAATTATGCCGATCCTCAAACATGCAGACGATTTTATCAGGTAAAATGTAAATACGAATTGCGATGATCGTGAACGAAATAGAAACGTTTTTTAGTGCGTGGATGGTTACCCTTACCTTAACAGATGTCCTTCGGGCCTACGTTTCGACGATATCTCCAAATTTTGTACGTTCCCAAATGAGGCGCGATGCGGACCAATAATACCAAGTAATACCCTTAATGTTTATCACTTTTTATAACTTACTTTTGATATTATAAGCACCAGCACCGTCCACCGAACCGCCAATTGACTTAGCAGTAAAGTGCAATCCGGAGGAATGCCTCTTGCCTGAATGTTTCTGTTCCAAAGATGGTACCAATATACCTGGAGACTTCACACCATCGGAGGCAAGTATGCGCTAACAAACTGGCACGAAACACTGCAGTATCTGTTCGACTATTTTCAGTCAACCCCCTAGATAATTGAAATAGGTAGGGTTTTTTTTATTACTGCACATTGATCAAAATGTAATAAAATTGATTTATTAATGCACATGAGAGGGTAGTTGGTATTTTTGATTTTTTTTTCTGTAAAAGTATGTCCCCCAAGATAAAGCGTTTTTATCCTGCGTTCATTTTAGAAGACTGAAGAAAATGATATATCAGGTTTCGGTTACTCACACTAAAATCTCTCCCTTGATTAGCGAAAGCAACAATATTCAAATGAATTAATATGCCATCCACGTCTTTATTGGTTTTAAGAAGTTATTTTGGTTGCATAAAATTAGGCGCCCTTTAGAAGCGATTTTGTCATTTAAAAATAGACTTGGGGAAAAACAATACATGAAAACGCTACATGTCCCTCTGTATATGTACGAGGTTCAAACATATTTGGATTTGGTTTCATGAGTTAGTTCAACCTGTTCTATCTCTGGGATGTAGGTCTTTTAATTAGTCGTAATTACTAATGAGCTACAACGTTGGGAGGAAATGGACCATTAATATTGTTGATTTTTTCTGAGGCACAAGTGAGCCGCAAATGATCTGGGCGACACGGGAATTATGCGTTTATTTAAACGTAAACATGAAAGTAATTTTATATAAACAAACTAAAAAGAGAAAAAACAACCTAATTCCTACTAATCACTAATTCAAATATCCCTAAATCTAAATAACCCTATCTTAAAAATGTAATGATTATCCCCACATATACAAATTTCAATAATTAAAAGTTATATGACAATATAAACGCGCTTATATAGATGCTTTGCCGACTATGTGTCTCATTGGTAGGGTGTTGGATTACATAACCGGAAGGTCGGGTGTTCGAACCTTGGCAGGTAAGAATTTTTCATCTGTGGCAGAGATGGGAATATCTTTAGATCAATTTCGAGCATTCTGCCGCTTACTCCGAATTAGGTTTTCCTAATTAATTCGTAAGGTAAATACCGGAGTAGTATAGAACAACTTAAGACCTTCTGCATGGGCACCTCTAAAAAGCATTATACGGGTCACTCTGGGCACAAGCCTGTTGAGGGCCCAGAACAAGAGAGGAAAAATAAATAAATAAATCACTTTTAGTTCACATGCAATTATGCAAAACGTAGATAATGAAAGATAATAGGTATCTTTATTAATGATGCAGCTTGGTGACTTGAGCTGGTTATCCTTGTCGCTATTTTAGATCAAGTTGCAGTCTGATAATGGTGGCGTGGGACTTAATTTCAGTTTCATTCGTACTCTGCTTCCCAAATTCGCTTAATATTGTTCTAAAATTTAGTGTTGGCCGGTGAAAACAATCGCAGGCTGGTTAATAAAAATAAACACAGATTTTCAAAAGGCTGTAGGTACAATTTCCTCGATGGAGCTGATGAATATACATAATACACTGTCAACCTTTCAGTTACACTGTCATATTCGAATTCTACCCTACTGTACAAGGTAAAAAGAAATTAACTTTTTTTTTTAAATAAAACGGTAGGCCATTACTACGCCATTATATAAGATTTACATATATGGTATCTCGCAAAAAACAAAAAAACAAGATATACATGCGCAATTTTTATTTTGCATGGCCTGCTTAAAAATTTTTTACAAAAAATAAAATCCACACATATTATTATACCGGGTGAATACTTTCAAACCGAACATAGGGAATTAACATGGGAAAACAGTTTTTCGCAGATTGTTGCTCCCCAAATTAACTTTGAGAGTTCATAATGCCACCATTTGAAAGAAGATTTTTTTCCGCGTTTTATGATATGCAAATTATTAACGTCTAGTTGCACGTTTAATTATTATTTTGCGAAATTAGGACAATTAGGTAGGTAGTCAAAATGTGTACTTGGTTTAAAAAATCACTATAGTCATGAAAACAAGTTATGATAACTGTCAATAACTTTAATTTGTACTTACTACAAAACTTACGATGTATTCCATTGCGGAAAAAGTGTTTATTGTTGACGGCGGTAATAATTACCGCAGAGTGCGAGATTTATTTTCCGTGGAATTTAATCAAACTTCTATTCCGTCAATATCGACAATACGAGAGATAGTTTTTCAATTTGACAATTCCGGATGCTTACCTAAATCTACGGGTCATGGCTACATGATTTTCGGAGTTCATTTTATTTTGGGAATTTTTGATAAAATAATGAGAAAATACGAATAAAATTTAACTAATTCGCATTTAGTTAGATGAGAAAAAAATCTTCTTTCCAGTGGTGCCATTATGAGCCCTCTAAGTTAATTTGGGGAGCAACAATCTGCGAAAAACTGTTTTCCCATGTTAATTCCCTATGCTCGGTTTGAAAGTATGCACCCGGTGTATTATACTTATATATTATTGGTGAGAAATTTGTCACATTCAACGAATACATTTTCATTGGGAGATGGGAAGAGGGAGAGTGAAATTCCCCCGTTCAAGAAACTCTAGTGGTGTAATTTCAGTAAATCTAGTCGATGGCTAGATTGCTGATTACATACATTATTCAATTTTTAGTTAAAAAAATTTCAAAATCAATCAAAACTTTTCATTGGGTGGTTGGGGAAGGGAGGCTGAACCCCGCGTACATAGAACTTTGAGGATATAATTTGAGTAAATCTTGTCGATGACTTTGGAGAGTACCTCCATGGCGAACAGAAACAATAAAAAAAACGAGGATGGTCTGCGCTATTTTTATTTTGAATACATACTTAAAAATAAGCTATTGTTTAATTTGTTATAAAGAAGTGGGAGTAAAATTCGCTCCCAAACTTTTTTCTATTTTCTTTGTGACAAAGTCGCCCCGATAAATTCGCTTCTAAAAATCTCCCTCTCACCTCTGAATAATCGTTTGCAAGAGAGAGCCCCCCCTAGATGAATTTGACCCCTGTATTCTAAAGCGTCTATTCTACAGTTTTCATTTATTTTGTAACAAATTGGTTTTTGGAAATCATCCTTTTGAATTAATATTTCCTTCCGACTGTACCGCTAAGGAGACTCACTTCGCTAAATTCCCTCGGAAAATTTTCCTACAAGAAAATGAAACTTGATCTTCTTTAAATGCAACCACTGTACAGGGTATCTATAAAAGAACTCCGGGGTTTTAAGACAAAATATTTTAATACAGTAAAAAACGTACATACATGTTTTATACATGATTAGAAAGCTTACATTTTCAAGATTTTTTAACAACTTAGTAAAGTTCAATGTGAGCTCCGTTAGTTAGTTAGTCCAGACGACACTGACTGCCTACCGCAGCCGTTACGTCATTTCACGGTCAACGCTCCGCAGCGCTGCCAACTGTTGAGAGAAACATTCCCAATTCGTATGAGTAAAACTCTTTGAGCTGCTTGTTTCAAAGGAATTGATCAAATTTTGCTATCTTTTATAGTTTAAAAAATATTAATTTTTTAAACCCCGGAGTTCTTTTATAGACTCCCTGTATTTTAACGTCAATTTTTTTGGATTCTTTTTCGTGATTACAGTGATGTACTACCACTATATTTTTTTATAATTTTTCAAAATTTCGAAATGGTGTGTTGCTACCGTCAGCAATTTTTATTGATTGGTATCGGCGGATGCCTTAGTTACAATGGATACAATAAATAACACAAAAGTAAAATAAAGTTTTGATTGATTTTCAGTCAAATTTCAGAAACTTTTTGTTTTCACCCTGTATCTCAGAAAGAAACGTTGCTAGATTGGTTCTGTTTGTGGTATTATACGTTTCACAAAAAAAAATGGCAAAGGGGCACGAAAACCGCGAGATTCTTTAAAAACATCTGAGATACACTGCAGGACGTCTCAACCAAAATCGGACACAGGGTACAATTAAATTTTATAATTTACATACATCGTGACGGGCCGCAGGGGCGGACTGGGTACTTACGGGCCAGGTGGAATTGCATAGGTTACGGGCCATTAAAGTATTAGTGTAGTAATGAAGGTGGCGGGGGGTAGCTCTGCGGTGCACCACAAAAACATTTTTTGCTTCATTTTAGTACTCCTTTTTCGGAAATCAATTACAATACAGTTTTTTTTTTTAAATTGCAGCTGATAATTAAAACTTTTGATTGAGACGTCCGATCGAAAAAGTACGAATTGTTTTGGATTCTACGCACCAAAATTAATAAGAAAAAGTGTTTTCCCGAGAAATTTTGGTGCAGTCGATTTTTGGTAAAAAAGGAAGGTTATACACTGCCTTCTTTTGAGCCCCGAAAAAAACATTATCTCAGATCGACCCGGAAAAAAATTTTCTTATAGAATGTGGCCTGTAGAATCCATAATTTCAAACAGTTCCAAAATTGGGCTACTGGTTCAAAAGTTACAGCCCTTTGAATTTTCTTTCGAAATTGGTTTCTAGTCAGGGGCGGGCCAGGTGGAATTGCATAGGTTACGGGCCATTAAAGTATTAGTGTAGTAATGAAGGTGGCGGGGGGGTAGCTCTGCGGTGCACCACAAAAACATTTTTTGCTTCATTTTAAAGTACTCCTTTTTCGGAAATCAATTACAATACAGGTTTTTTTTAAATTGCAGCTGATAATTAAAAGTAACAAAATATACAATCCAAACGATGCGCGTCGCCTATCATTGTATTTCATCACTTTCATGCTACGATAAAAAATGGTAAATTCATTGTAAAACACTTCAATTAAAACAGAATTTTTTAATTTTTTAACAACCTAACATCAACCTCAATTAGAGAAACGTGTTAATAACTTATTAATAGTGCAAGAAACTAAATACAGCACATACTTATAAATTTCCAACGGGCCATTATGACGTACAGGCCAGGTGGCAATCGCCCCCCCCCCCCCCCCCCCCGAGTCAGTCCGCCCCTGACGGGCCCCAGGTTTTACAACGGCGAGCCGCATGCGATTGATGCATTGGATGGATAATATTTCGAGGTAAATGTTCTCCATTGAACGTACTTACCTGTCTGGGTAGTGTCCTTAAAAAAATATAACGAAAAACTCAATTTCGCCTCGAATTTTGCTTATGAGCTAAAAGCTTAAGTTTCGAGTTATCCCGAAACCGCACGTCGATTCGTATAAATGACATGCAAATATACCCTATTGGCCCGATGCAGTAATTTGTTGCCACAACCGTAAAGTGGCGTGACTGAACTTAAAATTATAAGCTAGACGCCTTCTCCTGGTGGAAATCTACTGGGAAAGTCTACTAAGATGGGGCCAAAAAGAATAGCCCCTGAGAATCAGATATGTGTAGCCTTAAATGGATGTCTACACTTTCCGTCACCCTGAATATATACTTATCAAAAGTAATATGTATGGTACATATTCTAGATTCCACAAATGATCTTACTTACATTCGATGGTGCAGTTAATTTGAATAACTACCACTACTACAAGAAATTATTCAAAAAATACACCAATCCCAATGGATGTCCCATTAAGGGAACCTTTTACGTAGCCCACGAATACAGCAATTACCAGATGATACAAGAGTTGGCTAGTAGTTCACATGAAATAGGAACAGAGACAATTTCGTAAGTAACATTTCGGCTTTTCGACATTTCTGCGAAACGTTTTTGTTTTAAAGATTGCAAACCGGCTTGCAAGACAAAGGCTACGAGGAGTGGGTAGGTGAAATGATAGGAATGCGCGAAATTCTAAAGCACTTCGCAAACATTTCCAAGAACGAAGTTGTGGGAATGAGAGCGCCCTTTTTAAAACCGGGACGCAACACTCAGTACATGGTATTGTGATTCACAATTAATGTTCGTTTATTGCATTTACAATTGTAGGTTTTGGAGGACTTCGGTTACCTGTATGATAGTTCTGTCGGCGTACCTGTCTCACCGATTCCAGTGTGGCCTTACACGTTGGATTATAAAATTCCTCATGAATGCAAATCTGGGACGTGTCCTACAAAATCATTCCCTGGTAAAATACCTAATAGACAAGTGAACATTTTCTTTATCTAACTTTTAGGTATCTGGGAGATTCCACTAAATTCACATTACGTCGAGACCTTTGAAGGTGGCCACTGCCCATATCTCGATCAATGTGTGTTGCATAATCACGATGCAAATGAGGTATTTGAGTGGCTTCAAGAGGACTTTAGTAGGCATTATGATCAAAATAAGGCACCCTACATGATGCCCTTCCATACTAATTGGTTTTCCATCAAAGCTCTAGAGGACGGCTTGCATAAATTTGTGAATTGGACGCAGACTTTGTTAGTAGTGAGCTAACGTTAATCTTAATCTGTTGTTAAATTTTAGACCAGATGTATGGTTCGTTACCGCAACCCAAGCGCTAACGTGGATTACAGATCCTAAACCGTTAACTGAGCTCAACAAGTTCGAGGCGTGGGATTGCAAAAAGAAAAATGGAAACATTCCCAAGACCCCCTGTTTAAGTCCCAATAAATGTGCCCTCAGTTTCAAACCAGACAACCAAAATTTCACAGACACACGCTACTTAGAGACATGTGTGGACTGTCCGAGTAAATATCCGTGGATTGGTGATGCTGAAGGTTCAGGTATCGTTGGGAGAGATAATTACGTGCCAGATAACGGCAGCAAATAAAATACAACTCCGATAACTACATTCAAGTATAATCGAAAATCTGGCCAGTAGACCTAGGTATACAGAAATGTAGCAAAACAAATGCTCGATCTCACAATCAACAACAATAAAGTGAACAGGAAAAGTTGTACAGCATATTTTTTTGTTATTAATAAACTGTTTTTTAATATTCCGCATTTAATTACATACTACTAATAAATTCTCCTTTAACGAATAGGTACCCAAGGTTCAAATACTTCGGAGTATTTTTTCCGTTCTGCAAAACACCCGGTACAAGTATCTGTTTCAATGTTACGTTAACTTACCGAAATCTGGAAAGTCGTCACGATGCAATTCAATGTAATGTCGCAAAACTGCGTCCCTTTCCGCCAAATACTCGCTACGATTACTATCTATGTATTTACCTAAAAAGCCACCCAGAATGGTAAACACGACATGTTTTTGAATGCCTAAAATGTAATAGTTACATAATTACTAGGTTATGTGATTAAATTACCAGAAAGCATTGGTCGTCTTATAAACCAATTCGACCCACAGGCTAACGCAAACATAAACCCAGCGCCGAGACCTGGACCCCAGTATTTATTAACGCAAGGTTCCTCGATTAAGTATTTGTTTGTTAGAACTTCGATCGGATCAGTCGACACCAGTGGAACTTGCGCCATTATTATCTGAAGTGCGCTGTTAAAAAAATCATGAAACAATAATACAAGAAATTCAAAATACACCTCCAACTTCTAATTCTGGTTACAGTTAAAGGTAAATATCTTGTATTTGTATGTAGTGCACATCTGACATTTAAAGTTGACATGCACGTCACATGGATGTACCCACGTGAACTTAGCTACAACGAATATATTAATAATTAATATAGAGCGGCAAATTAACTATTAACAAATAATAATAAAAAGAACATCAGTACACGGACCTCTTTTTTTAAGCGGTCCATACATCCGTAGCAATAATTCCTCAGTAAAAAATAAAATTATATTAGCATGTAAAGCACCTGCGTATTTCATCACTCAGTAAGTTAGATACCCGTGTAGGGGCGGGAAAGAATACCCCTACTGCAGAGACACTGCATGTCGTAAGAGGCGACTAATCAACGGTATGGGTTTCAGTTACGGTCCTTGACATAGTAATTCTTTTCGGATTACGGTTAAGGTCACCGTAATGTTGAACATTGGTACATGTGAAATTGTCGGGTAAATAATTTTATAAAAAACACACATACAGGTGCGTAGTCCATATTTTGAGCCCTCAGCTTATTTGAAAATACTATTACTCTAATTCCACCGGCCTATTTCTTTACTTTCCCCCGTGCACCCTAGCTTTGTTCGAGAAATTGTTACTCTTCGGGTTAAATTAAACGCATTTAAGAAATGAAGAGATCGTTCCAAAACTAAAAGATTATAAGCACTGAAACCAGTTTTATTTCCAATTTTATCAGTCGTGGAACGATCTCTACATATGTACTTATTAATAATTTTGTAGATTCGAAAGATATTTAATTAATTAGCCCCTCTCCTACCACTACATTGGCAAAGTTCCGCTCAAATTAATTTTGTTTCTAAACAATTATAGCTCAATCTGCGCCTAATTGTAAAATGGGTCGCAGCCAAACTCGCTATCTATTGTTGAAGGGTGAACACGGTCTGTCGGGGAGGAGAGGGGGGGGTACCTCCTCAAGAATCCAGTGGGTACGGTGGCATGGCGGGGTTCAATTCTATCTCCCTTTGAATACTATGGTTAATTTTTTCGATATAGTGCTCCAGAGTCGTATAAAAAAAACAGGTAGCATAACGGGCGATCAAAAATGAGTTGCTGTCGAGTCGCCTTTGGAAGTTCAAGTTAAATATGATTTACCATGTAAACAAAAATTCCAAAGGTGACTCGACAGCAACTCATTTTTGATCGCATGGTAGAATATCTTATAATTGATACAATTTTTTCTCTCGGTAATCGATTACCGATTATTATTGTCTCACACATCAATTATAAGATATTCTATGCTACCTGCTTTTTTATTAACTGTTTTTAATGATTCCTTTATAAAATACAAAATATGAACGCAATACATTTTCAAGTGGTGTAAATTTCATTAGTTTGATCATCATTGCAGCAGGCAACACTAATTGAACAAAAACCTAATGTACTTATTACTAATTAGGTCTGCGAAAATCTGGTATATCGATAAATATCGATAATTAAAGTACATCAATATTATCGATATATCGATAATTTTTTGCACCTCATAATCGGGATGTCGCTAATATCAATAACCGATCACTTTGATATATCATCGATGATTTTTGATTATTGATAATCGATAGTGAATTTCTATTATCTTGCAGCCCTAGTACTTACCAATTTTGTTAAAGCAACGGAAAAACGCACTCCCGCATCATTAGGGAAAAAGTAAATGTAGTAATTCTAATCTTTTAACATAAACTTCTTCGGAGAACGGTCATTTCCTTTTCGAATTGATGTGTAATCCACTTCTTGTACACGTTTTAACGCAAATTTTATTAATGAATATATATTTTACGGTTAATCAAATTGCCCGGGTAATTAATGTGATATATCAGTTAAGAATGTATTAATCAAGCAACTTTATTTCCTAGATAAAATACACGCCCGAAGCGAGGGTACATAAAATATGATACATTAGTAGAACCATTAGAACTTCAAATTTTATTTTAAATGCATTTTAAATAAACACAAAAATAATTTTTTAGTGTTTTTTTATGAAGCATTTTGGAGTTTCTTTTTAAATGTATCTTACCCACTTTTGCAAAAAGTATTTCCTATATTAACCGGGATTTTGGGGGGGGTTAGCGTTAGATTCGGAGGTGACTTAAACTTTTACTATTATTTGCCGCTCTATATTGATAATGTACCTAAAGAGCTCGTTGCTCTTACTAACTTCACGCGGGTCATCCCTTTATATACAGGACGTTTACGTTATCACGTTACAGTTAAATATGATCTGGACAGTCAGTGCGCCGTTTCTTTTGTACAAATGTATTTATTGTATTTTAATCACTGAATTTGAATCCAATTTCTTACGTTGCTGTGCTGTACACTTCACATAAATCATATTAACTGTGAGACTGAAACACACCAATGCCTACAACTCCTTGTTCAAAGTATTTCATAGATAAATAATAGAATGGATATTTAATTTGAGTGTAAAAACACTTTAATTGCAGAATGCAGATAAGTGACTGGCTTGTTGGCAATGTTATTGATATCTAATCAACTACTCGCATTTCTTACACATCTTACGAAATGTCGTCGTCGAAGATAAATTGGTCAGAATTATTTCCGACCCCTTTTAGTGCGTTTATATTCGTCTTATATATAGCTTTATTCGTAAATCAAGGTATTACTTATCATCGGTAAATGATAACTTATCTCTTTTCATTTAAGGTATTTTGGTTACTGCATCACAGAAAGAAGGGAGCAAATATGAATATGACATCGTTACTGTTGTTCTTTTAACAGAATTTTTGAAACTGTTGACTTCTATAATCTTGTATTGTAGAGAGTGAGTATTGGTATTACGTAGGAATTAATGGTAAACTCACCTCGATTGCAGACACACGTTTAGCTCATTAGTGCAGGACAGTGTCAAAAGCAGAAAAGTTCTCTATTTGTATTTCGTGCCAGCATTTCTCTATTGCCTTTATAATAATTTGGCATTTGTTAACTTGGCCACGTTTGATCCGACAACGTATTATTTGTTACTGCAATTCAGAGTGGTTGCCACTGCAGTTTTGTTTCAAGTAAGTTTCTCAGCGCACTTAATCCTTTGTATTGCAAGATCCATTTAAGGTGATATTCAAGAAACAGTTGAGCAGAAAACAATGGCTCTCATTAATACTCCTTACAACAGGGTGTATGCTTAAAGGGTGGAACTTCACAGTTCAAGATCAATCGGATACCAAAGATAAAAATGCGGCACATACAAAGTCGACAAGTATCACCTTAGACATTAATGCCATTTTAATTTTTGTGCAACTGATGTGTTCGTGCTTAGCGGGCGTTTATAACGAATACCTCCTAAAAAAACCTGGAGCAGACACTCACATTTTCATTCAAAATGTGTTTATGTATTTAGATTCCATACTTTGTAATGTATTCTTGCTTATATTACAAGGGAACTTAAGCTCATTTTCGATAGAAAATATGGGAAAAATATTTCATTATAAAGTAATATTAATAATGATAAATAACACAGCAGCGGGGATAGTTACCAGTTTTTTTCTGAAAAACATGAACTCCATTTTGAAAACATTTGCAGCCGCCCTCGAATTGATATTCACCGCGGTCCTTAGCTACGTATTATTTAGCATACCTATATATCTAAATACGATCTTAGCTATATCGGTGGTGCTATTTTCGATTTACTTGTACTCCCAAAACCCTGTTTCAAACACAAAGACAACTAAAACTTCACCGGAGGAAAAAGAAACACTGCTTGAAGATGTATGACACACATTTAGTCGAAAATTTTACGTATAAAAAAAAATATTTATTGAGAATTTGCACCTTGGATTGCGCTTGTTTTATACTGTCACGCTAACGAAAGCCATTGTTACTTAATATTTAACCAACTTAGGAGTGATATTTTTTATTGGAAATTAAACAGATAGTCTGTGCTGGTTTTATTTTTTAAATGAATTACTAAAAGTGTGAATAGAAACATCATTATCAGTTCTCTGCATCGCAGATGATCGTAGTGATTTTCCTCCACTCCGATCTTGTGCCTCTCTCTTCATGACGTACTCTCCTCTCCCTTCCATCATGTATCTAATCAAACGGCTTTTTTTAAACACATGATCCAACCAATTTCACTTTCTTTTGCTACTGGTGTGCATGACTGTTCCCAGTACTTCCTTGCTCTCTCGTTCCATTTGATCTTCACAACCCTTCTCCATATCCATATTTCCAAGGCTTCTATTATTTTTTCATTCTTCATTATTGTCCATACTTCACAAGCATACAGGGATTGTATAAAAAGTATTGGGAATGATTTTTTCGTGGGGTTTCTGTACATTGCAGGGCGCTTGCTGCAAATCGGTTCGGTGTATTTACTCTCGCATTTTGTTGTCGTAGAATGTAGGTTTTTGTGGCGTAGAAGGTTTCCCTAATACCCCATCTTGATAACTAAAATCAGATTCAATCCAGCCGCAGTCTTAAGATTAACTCGAAACTCAACTATATCAAAGAAAATTTTCTTTTAGTAATAATTTGCTTTACACGAATCCAACCAAAAATCAATTTAGATTCACAGCGTGTATATAGAATAAATGACCACAATACCTTTTTTTGTTAAGGTTTCTCGAAATGGACCCATAACGAATTCGGTTTTGTTATATAATGGAAAACTGCTTATGATTATCAGATGTCGGCTGGATTGTTGAACGGTTGCCTTAAAATCGCCTTGAAATTGTAGACTCCGGGGAAAATTTTGAAGATAACGAATAGTTGGGGTTTTTTCATTTTCTTACTATCCCAGGAACTTCTGTTATTTTGTGCAATTTTTTAACTAGCGTATCATTTATTGAAATCTGCCAAAAAACAACCAAAAAGGCAAAGTTTTCATTTCTTCGCCGTACACTGAAATTTTTATTAATGCAAAAATGTTCCTTTACAATGCTGATGCATTTATATTTAGTTTCGCCTTGACGGGACGGACAATGAGTTTACTTCGTTTGAACTCGTGCAATTGTTCTTTTTTACCGCACATTACTAATAGAAAGAATGTTTATGCTGCGTCGCATTCGACAGGAAACGACCGTCGGATTAAATTACTCAATTCGATCGCACTTAATTTAATCCAAAGGTTTATCGCTATGTCGGAAACGTTATCCTTTTTTGCGTTTCCACCAGAAAAGCTTTCTTTACTAACTCTAAACATGCGTAATAAAAGATCGGAAATTACGATTTCTGGTCAAAAACCATTTCATTTTTTGAAAAGGGGCCACAGAAACGGTCGCTCTAATACAAAGTGAATAATAATCTGTGTTAACTCCGATGACCAAAACGCGAATCGCTTTTGGTTCTCGAAAAAAATCCCCCTTCTTGGTTACTGCGTAATGTTCTGAACGCCCACAATGATGCGAAGTATCTCATTATGCTCAAAATTTGTCTGAGAAGACACTTCAGAACCTTGATATTTTTTGAGCTTTTAAAATTCTACTTTACTTTTCTGCAAGAACATTGAAAATAAAAGTCACGAGGAAGAAGGCATAAAGGAATTAATTGTCTTGAATGTCAATTTACAAACGAAATGAAGAACAAGAAGATGGAACGCCAATGTCACACAATCATCTCAAAAGAAAAGGGTATCAAGGACAGCAGTGAGAAAGCAAAAAAGAAGAAAGAACTTTAAAACAATAGAAGAGTGTAAGTAATATACATAAAAACATTTATTTGGAATATGTAACAAAATCAATTTCAGATTGTTCTTATTTTTATACAGTACACTTTAATAAAACCATGTTCAATACATTGCATTGTTACTTAATATATTCAAACTGAATTCATTTTTCAAACTACTACATCATCATCTGTAGGTAGCTGTTTAAAAACATCATCCAATGGATTTAAGTCGTAACTTTTAGTCGGTTTATTTGCTTCCGCTCTTAGCTTCTGTTGCTTCTTAGACATGTATTTACTAAAAAGCCTTAATTAAACGACAAAAGACATAAATTAGGCTTTAACTTACTCTTTTTTAAGGGACAATTGCATGTGTCGTCTATACTTGGCCGGGCTGACGTACTTCGGATTTTCCCACAAAGGCAAACCGCCGAAGCTGCTTGCGAATATTTTGACGGGATTTAAAACGAAGCGAGGTCCGATTTCCGTTAGCGCGCCATCTTCGGACAATATCTGAAAGTTCCTGAACCATATTCGATCGTCTAAGATTGTAAATGTGTACACGTGGTCGAAGAACGGTTGGCTTTTCGGATGTTTATCTGGTACACCGAAGATTTGTATAAATAGTTCCTTCAGGAGCGAGTAGTGAGGTGATTCGGAAAATTTAGGATCAAAACTAAGTAGTGGTCGCGAACCCTTCAGGCAATTTCCCGTCAGTTTCAGCTCTCCCATTGTATGAACTGAAAACAAAACGTTAGAATGAAAGCATAAATTTTACGTTTCGTACTATTATCAACTGCGAATTTTACACTGGGGCCGTCTGCAATGTTTGACAACCACATGTAGAGATCTAATTTTCTTCTTCCTTCAAACATTAACGCCTTATTGCAGTTTTTCACTTCGCACATATCGTTAACTATTGACAATGTTTTAGCGCGTTCCATTTTGGGCTCGGCACGATGGTGAGGTATCAGTGTTTTTAAATCTTGCATTAGATGTCGATATCGAAAATTCATGCCTCGGGAACAGAAAATTAGAACACGTTGTTTGTTGGTCCAATGCTAGAAAAAAGGAATGATTGTCGGAACGTTATTGTTGGTGATACCCTTCAAGTACTTACCTTTTTCTTTAATGGGGGCTCTTGACTTGTGCTTTTTTTTAAACGTTTTGCCTTAGGATTCTGCATTCTTAATACAAGTAGAACTATTTGAAATTAACCTAAAATGTGGTATGTGACACCACGTGCGTTGTGTATACAATCACGTCACGTGATTAATTAAAGCAGAGGCGCCACCTATAATACAGGGTGGTGCATCTAAAACGATCCATCCGAGCTAAGGAGTGGAATGTTATCACCAAAAAGGCTTTACGACAATTCAACCGAGTTGGTGGAAATTACCATAATTGTAACTATTCCGAAATGCACAAACCTGCTTAATCTGGTTGATTTATCATAAAGTACTATTTTTATTTTTTCTTATCCTCACTTTATCCCAACCACACCAAATTGTGGGTAAAATAATGACGTTTTAATCCAATGTTCATTATGAAATTTAGACAAATGTGGATCAACCACTTTTTGTAACTCTAAACTACTAATCTTCCTCTCCACAACTGCACAAAATATAGGCACAGTTTCATTCTTGATATTTAGAGATTTAGCTGCGTATACTACAAACAAAATTGACAATAAATCACAGTCACTAAAATTGTTTACTATCATTCGTTTCGAGAAAAATTGATATTCCTATCTATAAACTGAAATTTTAATACGGATACGGACGTTAAAGTCTCCCAGAACTATCCTTGTTGGTCCTGTGATAGCGATTGAATGGTATCTTGCAGCTGGTTATAGAAAGATTCCCTTTCTAATTTGGTTTATTGTCTTTGGGCGACATTCTTGAGGAGATGTAGCCACATTCGCGAATATTTTTTGCTGCTTTTTATGGATGGCTAATTTTACTCCTTCTTTTGCTGTCTCATGTTTGTCTACTGTATATAATACTAGATAGTTACCATATTGTTCTCTTGGTCTCTGTTGTTGAATGATCTTATGTTCCATGTAGCAATTCGCATTATACTTTTCTTCCGTGGGTCGTCATCTGTGGATCCGAGGCAGAGTGTTAAGCCTGCAATCTTTTTTGCCCCAGATAGAGAGCTAACCTTCCTCCTTTTTCCTGAACAAATTATGATAGATCCATTAAATAAATTAAATAACAAATTTTCTGGAAAACGATCCGACCGATTTCAAAAAATCAAACGTCAAAATAAAGGACTTCGAAAGACCTTTCAAACAAGTTATTACTGGATACCACTTGTTATTTAATTGTTATTTAAATTGGGAATGTCCCTGGGGAGCAGTGGGTAGAAGGGGATGATTGGCGAAAAAGTTGTCCCCCGGATAAATCTTTAGACGTGTCTCGGCGTTTTTTATATGTACCATTTTATGCTTCACGGTCGTCTACCAAATTTTATTGCTCTAAACCGAACACAAACATATTGCCTGCTTCTCCTATTCATTTTATGTGTGCAAATTTCAATAAAATATCAAATATGTGAGACATCCACTTCTCACCTCTAGATAGAATCTTATTAACTCTTAGGCACGAATAAAGTACTTGATTTTTAATTTCTTAATTTATATGCTTAAAATTTTCTTTTTAATCATTTTTCTATAAATTCTACTATAATCTTTTTTTTCTTTTTTTTATATACCTATAATGCGCCTTACGTTTAGCTTTATTAGTAATTGACCTATACTTGGATGTATTTATATCTGTCGGTCAATAAACATTATTATTATTATATTATTATTATTATTTTCCGTTAATCAGTGGTTTTCGATAAATCCGTGGTGGGAGGTTTTCAAATGAACATCCTGTATGTGATGCAGTGCTCAATAATTATAGTGATTTATAACGTGCAATATGTGGTATAATGACCTGTGAATTAGTATTATTTTCAATAACATATTATGTGACAGGTGTCTTTGAGACACATTACCTATATTTCTAATAATATCCAGAAAACTAAGCGGGCTATAGAAAATACCCCCTCATTAACTATTTTTACATAACTTTAATCATTTCTGCTTTTTTGATAACGGGCGATCAAAAATGAGTTGCTGTCGAGTTGCCTTTGGAAGTTCAAGTTAAGTACGATTTCCCATGGAAACAAAAATTCCAAAGGTAACTCGACAGCAACTCATTTTTGATCGCATAGTATTCCCACAAGTAAATGTGTGATATTATAAAGCAAAAACTTGTGGTTATGGTTAATCTAGGTAGCTTTATCAAGCAACCCCGAGAAGAGCACACCGCATCACTTTATCTCTTTTAGTTCTCAAAATATCCCCGAAAGAAATCGAAAACAAGCAATTTGGAACACCCTGTACAACGTTTGACCATGTTCACGTGGCCCCCACTACAAAACTATGGATGTACGCCAATGCTATTAGTGTCTATGTAACCGGCGCTTTCAAGGGACACAGTTTTCTACGGCTGTTTTCCAAACAAAACTGAAGACCCTTGGAAAACGTGATCAAAACCGAGAAAATTTAAAGGTTTTGTGTATGTAGATCCGCGAGCAAGTTGGAAGTATTCTCCTCTTCTTCTTCTTCTTGAAAATCCAGTTTTTGTACACATGAAGTAAGTTACTAGTTATTAGTGATGTTTCGATTACATAAATTCGATAAAACCATAAAGATACTTATTCACAACAGTTTTACAAGGTACAGCACCGAAATACTTCCAAGACAAACTAAAAAGTTGTATCCTCCCTGCAAGAAAAAGCTTCTGCCGAACAACGACAAGCATCCACCACCTATCCACGTGGATGGTGAGGCACCACGTGTCAATAGTGTTGGTATACAAATGCTACCGGCCAATATTTACAAGCAAGTTTTTAAGGGAATACCGGATCAAGAATATGATGCTTCGATAGTTGAGAAGTGTCACGGGTATTTAAACAAACATGGGATTCTCAAAAAAGACCCAAACTTATTACCCGATGTGAATTTAAAAATTCCCCCGCTTTGCGGGGCGAATATCATCGAACACTTCGAGATTATAGCTGAAGAGCAATCAAAACCGTATAGAGAATTAGTTCTTGACATTCTGGATGGTATTCCTCCAATACCCGAGGAATGGGTAATGCAAGTGGGGTGGACACGCTACGTTTTAAACCAAGAACCGGTGGCAGTCGACTGTCCGCTGGAAGACTGTGTTGTTTTCGACGTAGAGGTTTGTATGCGGTCAGGGAAGCTTCCCACAATTGCGACGGCGGTGTCTAAGGAAGCCTGGTATGGATGGGTTAGCGAATCCTTAATGAACAGAAGTGATAAGCCGTTACAAAACCACGAGTATTACGAAAAGCATTTAATACCATTCTACAATGGGTCATTAGACAATCCGAAAGTTGTGATTGGCCATAATGTCGCATATGATCGTTCGCGCATTATGGAACCGTACAGATTGAGAAATACAGGAATGAGATTTCTCGACACCATGTCTATGCATGTAGCTATTAATGGATTGACTAGCTATCAGCGTGCTGTCTTAAAGTCCCAAGATAAGGAGGAGGAAGATGGGGAGTGGCAGAACACTAGCTCGTTGAACAGTTTAAATGAAGTTCATAAATTATACTGTGGCAAAGAGGTCGAGAAAACTGTTCGGGATGTATTTGTCTATGGATCTCTAAACGATGTTTACGATCAATTTCAAACAGTCATGAGCTACTGCGCGTACGATGTAAAAGCGACCCATAACGTATTAAAAGTTTTGTTTCCCTTGTATCTGGAACGTTTTCCGCATCCTGCAACACTTGCGGGAATGTTGGAGTTAAGCACGACGTATCTGCCGATCAATGGCAATTGGGAGAGGTACATTAATAACTCTGAGCAGGCTTACGACGATTTGGACATCGAGCGTAAGGTGATGTTAGCACGATGTGCGGATCAAGCGTGCCATTTATTTCATAATAACAAATACGCCGAGGACTTGTGGATGTGGGATCAAGATTGGGATGTAAAAGATATAAAAATACGTAAAACACCAATTAAAAGTGAATCCCGAGGTGAATCCGATAATGCAAGTAGTGAACAGGATCTATTGGAAGAAAAGTTTAATTATCTCGATCGGACGGCCCAGTTTTTACCCGCCGTCGAAACTTTACTACCCGGTTATCCGAATTGGTACCGGAAATTGTGCACCAAGCCGGGTTCGTCCCCCGATTGGGTCCCCGGACCGCATTTAATTAGTACTTCCATGCAAATTACGCCGAAACTCCTCGGATTGACTTGGGAGAACTATCCCCTGCATTTTATTAGAGGGCAGGGGTGGGGTTTGATAGTGCCGTTTCTTAGTGACTCCGATATTGACACTCGAATTCCCATAAAACAGATTTTGCAGAAAAGGGCGGCCGTCGGCAGTAGTTTGCAAGCGTCCGTTGCACCCGATCTGTCAATTGGGCAACAAATCGAACGGAACTTATCGAAAGTTGAATTTTATCGTTCTGTGAAAAAGGACAACAGCGGAGGGGTGTATAAGGGTGAGTTTAAAGTATAACATAGCATCCCTACCATCAAATTTTGTTAAATTTATTCTTTGCTAATGAGCAGAAACACCTAAAAAAGAATGAGGTGAGTGTTTTCTGGGTTTTTGTTAAATGGTTATCTAAAAATTGTACAGTGTGTCGTATTTTGGTTGAGACTGCAGTGTATCTCAGCTGTTTTTAAAGACAGAGACAGGCTATGTGCCACTTTTGTGTATTCTTTTTCATACTTACATTGATGTATGACAACCTAAATTTTTTTATATGATTGTATATTATATTCTCGATTATATTATATCATATTTTTCAAAATTTCCCAGAAACGGCTAAGCAGATTTTTAACATTTTTGTAGTCAATCGAACCTGACACTGCCAAACCTAATTGCGTTTTTTGCATTGTTGGCAAATTAGGCTCTAACTTTACCTGCCCAACCACACAGTAGGTCCCAGAATATGTCTCCTCCAAGAACCATGTCTATGCTATTGAGTTTGAAAAAGATCAGGTCTGTCAATTTCAAGTTCCTTGGAGTTCTTAATTTCGAAACTTTAACATTCACTATTGGTAAATTCGAGGGGAAATTATTCGAGATAGATTTTATCACAATTTAAGACATTTGAAAAGATTGTTGCTTATAAAACTCGCTCTAGCTGCATGAGCAACATTTACAATTTATGTATTTGTTGAATTTTTCTTTCAAAGTGATTGTTTTTCACATTGGACGTCCATGGCACACTTATTCATTTTAAAATAAAATTGATATAAATTTGAAGTTTACAATGTATTTCTTATGGCAATAATTCCACGGCCGTGTTGACGGCGACTGTGCTAGACAAGAAACAAATGAATTTGGTTTTAATCTCAGTCTGCCATGATTGGCATAAGAAATACATTCAGGAAAAATTCCAGATTAATTTCCAAATAAACTACTAAGTATTTGGTATCGCCGATTCTGTAAAATCCAAAATGGCGACTATAAGAAATAAGAAAGTTAATGTGATTTACTCGAAACCCACACACCATAAACATTTTATTGTAGTACCATCAGAAAACTGAGAAAAAATCACTAAGAGTTTATTAAAAGTATTTTTTGATATCTTTGAAAATAAATGAACACTACTAGCGCATTTTCGAAAATATCATTTTTTCGTTTTGGTCATAACTTCACTATTTGTAGAGCTACAAGAAATTATGACTAGGATAATTAATCAGCATAAAATTCTGCATAATTTTGCCCATTTAACTGATTTTGTATCTCGATTACGAAATAACGCGAAATAAAAAACATATTTCCATTTAAAATAACAAAGTTGGTATCCACAGTTTGTGAATCACTGGTTGACAAACATTTTTCGTGCCCATTAAAATAGTCTTGCAAAATAGAAATTGTGTGCTAATTTACCCGACCTCGTAGCTATTATAATTCTCAAGATAGCAATAGTGGACAAAATAAGATGAATGTATAAGCAAATTGAATTGTGTTTAACAGAAGTTCGATTATCAATCCCGAAGTTATAAATAGTGAAATTCGCGCTCGTGTTTTAAATTTACATCTCGATTTACATGTTATAAATTTGAGTACAAGTAAGTGATACATAATAATGTTATAAATAACTGTTATAAATCTATCTATTTAAATTAGTAATTTAATTGTACATAAATAAATATGTTACATACATTATTGACCCCCAAGGGAGTTCATGAGCTAATTCTAAAATACTCTTCCTTAATGTTTTTGAAACTATCAATCGGGTATTAAAAAAAATTAGATTGTCATTTACTACTTCTTCCGAGACTACTTCATTTTTCATGTTATAAAAATGTACCAATAACTCCTCACCGGTATAATCTCGCTTACAAGATCATCTCTCATATCAAAATTTTACGACACTCACCCTGAACAAAAGGGGGAATTGATACAAGGTTGCCACACTAATTTCTACCAACTTAACATTAATACTAAACAATGTAACCAGTAACCACCTTAGATATTTCATGTCACTGGTAAACACTAATGTTAAATCCGAGGTTAAATCTGAGAAAAGTTTTTAACCCCAACACTTCAGAATCAAATTTTAAGATCAACAATATAAAATGTATTTCCCTCTCACAAAGCGCATACTCCTACAAACTACAAGAGAGAGAGAGAGAGAGAGAGAGAGAGAGAGAGAGAGAGAGAGAGAGAGAGAAGGGAGGGGCTTATAAATGCAATAAGTACGCCGTGTAGAATTCACCGAAAACAAGAAAAAAAATGTACCAAATTCTTGAGAGAACAGCTTCCTAGCTCAAACCAAAAATGGCGCTTTTAGAACAGTGTATTTAAAAAATGGTAAATGTATGGAAAAAACTTGCCCACGAATGTTTATTATTTTCTGATGTAGAATAATAATATTCAATTTTGTATTTGAAAAAAATAGGTTACCCTACACTTGACCCTTAAAGGACAGTTATGTGCAAAGATGCATGCCAACATTAAACGGACCCCCCTCCATATGAAGAAAATAAATAATAAATAATGAAAATAATAAATAATTAGAAATATAGAAAATATAAATAATTTTTTGATATCCTCGCTAGTTTTCACAATAATCGACTGTCTCAGGATAAATGGGACACCCTGTATATAAATTAAGTGACAAAAAATTAGTATTCGCGACTCAGAAAAGAAATGACCGCTACACTCTCGGGTACACCCCAATTCGTCTCGATTATGCAGGTGCGATTAAACTCCACTAAATCATCCCCTTGACAATAGTATATTGAAAGACAAGTGTTACAATGCGACCTCCGCTTCGCTACGCCACTCGTGCCACAAAATAGTCGTATTACAATAAAGCATTGTAACACGTGTTTTTCATACTATTTTTTCTATTTCGGGGCTTTAATTTAATTAAAAAGTAATGATGAAAAACTACAGGAAACTTTAGAATTAATATGTCTTAAGTTGGCAACACCATTTACGTTGACAAATTTTAAGTTGGCAGCGTAGATAAACACAACACTGACATTTGGAAACTTTATAAAACTTTTAAATAAATTTATTTATGGTGGATGTGTAAACTGCTGATTTGGAATGTATTCGTGTACCAAAAATCAAGGAAAACACATAAATTTCACGTAATTTGATTTCACATGCATCTGATGATTTGACGTTGACGTCTTGGCGAACTGCCAACTTAAAGATGAAAAGTTACCAAAAACAATGTTACAATGGAACTCATCGAAACACTGTTTTTGCCGAAAACAGTTGCACAAAATTCTCATTGTAACACCGAAATAGAAAAAAGAATTTTTCTATTTCGGTGTCACAATGATGATTTTGTACAAAACAGTTGTACAAAGACAGTGATTATAATCGGTTTTTTTGGTAACACATCTCTTAAGTTGCCAGTTACTAGTTAGTACAAGTAGGTAGTTCGTTGGGTACTCCATGTTTGAACTTCAAAATGTCAGTCTTACTACGCTGCCAACCTAAAACTTAACAGCATAAAAAGTGTTCCCAACGTAAAACATGTTAGTTCTAATGTTCCCTATAGTTTCTGATAATGGGTTTTTTAATTAAATTAAAGCACCGAAATAGAAAAAATAGTATGAAAAACGCGTGTTACAATGCGACCTATTGTAATACTCCTATCTTGCGGACACTCGTGGCTACGCTTCGCGTCGCCACTCGTGCCACAAGATAGTCGTATTACAATAGGTCGCATTGTAACACTTGTCTTTCAATATACGATTTCCAAGGGCAAATTTAAAGTCTTGTAACTTTTGTATTTGTGGAGGTATTTTAATGACTCTTTCGCATTTCTGTTGAATTTTGCTTAAATTTTCTTAATTTATTTACAGCAAAAAAACTGGAAATTTCTCCATTCTGACTATTTTTGAGGCCTTAATCTACTAATATCGCATCTTAAAAAATGAATATGGCAACCGCGCAATTAAAAAAATTGTGAATTCGTTATTTCAAAAATATCGAAGTTGTTTATAATCGAATTACATTTTTAGCGCATTTTCGAACTTTTTGGAAGGCGCTATTATGGCCACTTTCTCCGGCCGTCTGCCCCCTTAACTACTACAGTTTTCAAGCATTCGAGCTCGTTTAGATATTTGTTTAATTTACCAAGATTTGACGGTAGGGGTGCAAAGTTAACGAACATTTCTGTCCTTTTAGTTAACGATTTGCGTTGTCGACAGGTTCCGGAGTGTGGAGTAACACAGTTCTCGAGAACTGCTGTTGGTTTTACAAGTTGCCGCATAAAGACGGTCCCTCTCATCGCGTGGGAAATCCTTTGGCAAAAGATTTCTTAAACAAGTTTTCGGAAAGCGTGTTAACCGGCAGCACTAACAGCGCCGAAAAAATTATCGCGATACAGAAAATGCTGTCGTATTGGCGTAATAATCGTAATCGTATTATGGAACAAATGGTGGTGTGGTTGGATGATGCGCACCTGCCGAATTTTTTAAAATTGCACCACAAGCAGTGCGGCGCCATCTTGCCTCAGGTTGTTGTATGCGGTACGCTGACGAGAAGGGCAGTTGAAGCAACCTGGATGACCGCTTCTAATGCGCATACGGATAGAGTGGGGTCGGAACTAAGAAGTATGGTGCAAGCGCCGTTCGGATACAGTATTGTGGGTGCAGATGTTGATTCTCAAGAACTGTGGATCGCCTCTGTTATCGGTGACTCTCATTTTGCGAAAATACACGGAGGTACGCCGTTAGGTTGGATGACTATAAGCGGGAATAAGTCGGACGGGACCGATATGCATAGTGTAACTGCAAAGGCAGTTGGCATATCCAGGGATCAAGCAAAAGTCTTAAACTATGCCAGAATATACGGGGCAGGGCAAAATTTCGCCGAGCAGCTACTCAAGCAGTTTAATCCCACCATGTCGGATAGTGACGTTCGTAGGAAATCGTCTAAAATGTTTACTTTAACGAAAGGAAAGAGAGTGTTCAATCTAAAGAAGGAATTTCTAACAGATTTCCCAGATAAACTTTACGAACGCTGGGAAGCGTTTGGAATAGCAAAGTTGCATAATAAAAAGTTAGACGAGATGTTTTACAACCCAAAGTGGACTGGTGGAATGGAATCTGCAATGTTTAACAGATTGGAGGAAATTGCAAATAATTCCGAACCGGTGACGCCATTTCTGCATTGTCGACTAAGTCGCGCTTTAGAACCCAAAGGTGTCGCCGGTGACCGCTTTTTACCGACGAGGATCAACTGGGTAGTGCAGAGTGGAGCTGTGGATTTTTTACATTTGATGTTAGTTTCGATGCGTTGGATTATGCAGAACCAGATACGATTCTGCTTCAGTTTCCACGATGAAGTGAGATATTTGGTGAAGGACGATCGTAAATATCAAGCCGCCTTGGCGATGCACGTAACTAATTTGTTAGTGCGATCGTATTGTTCCGCAATGCTCGGCATGCGCGATCTCCCGTTTTCCGTCGCGTTTTTTTCTTCGGTCGAAGTCGACGCGGTGCTGAGGAAAGAAGCGAAACAAGATTGTAAAACGCCGTCCAATCCGCACGGTTTGATGGGAGGTTACAATATTCCAAATGGCGAATCGCTAGATATTCATCAAGCGGTTCGTAAAGCAGGGGGGCAGTATGCTTGGTGGCGTACCAAAAAAAGGTTTTTTTAACATACAGACTGAGTTGAGGGGTCAATATTCATGGAAGTATTTTGTATACCGTTATTCCACTTCCAATTTTTTGTGGGAGAATCCATCTTTTCATCTGTGCCAAAAATATTTAAAACAATAATTGTCATGGATGTGTAAATGTCGTCTATACCAGTTTAGTACAACACTCCTACCATGGGAAAGAACATTCAAAACGTTGGCAGTGGGATGACAGTGTTTTTACAATTATTTCCAAGGATGTTTACTCCTCGAACTGTACTTTGCAAATTTGCAAACTAAATGTGCACCTTGTTTCAGAAATGTCGAGAGCCACAAAACGAAAGCACGTCCTAATGGAACTCATGCAGGATGATTTTTCCCTTCCCACAGAAAATCAAGCCATAGTGAAGATACTAAGCAGTAAAGGCAACAATTTACACGAAGCAGAGTCTCCAGACGGTTCCACCTTTCTGATTAGTATGCCGACCAAATTTAGGAAGAACATCTGGATTAAGAGAGGCGATTTCGTCATAGTGGAACCAATCGAGGAGGGCGATCGTGTCAAGGCCGAAATTGTGCGAGTGCTGACTAACGATCATATTAAATACTTTAAAAAAGATGGCGTGTGGCCCGCGGACTTTAATTCAAAATGTGGGAATGCGGAAGAATTTGCAAGTGAAACTTGTGAAAAGGACGATGGTAGCAGTTCGGACAGTGAAGGTACTTCTAATACAAGTGAAAGCGAAGATAGTAAATAGTTTTTGTTATTTTTTACTTCAAAAATAAATTACATAAAATTATCTTCGCTTATAATTCTGCGTAACAATTTACTTTTAAGTTACCATCGAGATTCTGTATTGGTTCTTTTGTGTGCATTGTTCCTGAAAATAGCCATACAAGTTTTTGTCCCAATAATTAATAATAATAATAATAATAATAATAATTTTTATTCGTCCCTTGAACTTGATCGTTGTGGGATAAGTTATTACAGTCAGTAAACACAAATAACAAAAGAAATAGAGCATACAAATTCGAAGTCATCTAAATATTCCTTAAGGGAATAATAAATAAAGACTTTGTTTTTTGTACTTGTAAACTACAAAGTTGCTGATTTTTCACCATTTGTTGCTAAAGCAATCGATAATGTGCCACAGGTATAAACTGTAATTAACTACGTGAAGCAAATGTAGCCCTCGACTTCAATTATTTTGAGCTTTAAGCTCGTTTCTCACAATTCATATTGCCATTGGCTCTGAAGGTAGAAACATTTTCCTTTAATGATAAACTAAGAACAAGAAATATAAACCCAATTGCATAATGGAGAAATGTGTGTTGGAATTATTGTAGACCAGACCAACAGACAATTACTTACCTTTATTTTCCAGAACATTTTAGATACGTTTTCGATCTTTTTTGAGTGTTGTAGAACTCAAAGCTGAGTCGAGCGCAGGGCCGTATCTAGGCGGTGACGAGATGGGCGTCAGCCAAGGGCGCAGCTACCGGGGAGGCGCAAAATTGGCATTGAAAAAATTTCTTTTTACATTAGTGTATTAGGAAAAAAATTCAGGTTATTTAAACAAATGTTATTCCAGATTGTTAATACTGTACGTACAGTGACTGTGAATAGCTGGGTCGTTACAAAGTGGTTTTACCTTTACCTCTGCCCTTCCCCCATTTTGCCTCCTGATGGCAAGATAATATATACAGTGTGTCCAATATAAGAAGGAAAAGCAAACAAGTCAAGTGATATTTTAAAAATTTGTAAATTCCGATCAGTTCCGAAAAAAAACGAAATTAATCATATTCGGTTTTATTTTTTGCCGGCCCTGTTTGAAAAGATATCAAAAAACAAATAACACTTCCTCATAGGAACTTTAAGCGATACAAATTAGCGTTTTTGAGAAACCATCAACAACGATGTATGGCACAATAAGATTCTTTATCACCTATTTAAAGGAACCATCAATGAATTATTTTGATATTTTGTCAACGCCTACTACAGTAAAATGTTAAAAATTATTTATTATTTAGCTCAGAAAAATTGCTTGTTACTAAATTTTTAACATTTTGGTTTAGTAGGCGTTGACAAAATGTAAAAACAATTTGTTCTCCTAAATGACATATTGTACCATACATAATTGTATTCGTAATAAAAAATGCCACTCAATACATTATGTACTTTTTTCCGGTCCATTAAAAATATTAAGTTGATGGTTTCTCAAAGACGAAACATCGCAGCGAAAATCTTGTAAAATGGTGAGCTTAAAAAGTTACTTTCGGTTTTTTTAATATCTTCGGAACCTTGGACTTAAGAAAATTTTCGGAGAAGGACCGGGAGATCCTTGCGTTTTTGTTGGGGGGTATTTAACCCCCCAACCGCGCAGGTGTGGTGGTGGGGGGGGGGGCAAACTTGAAGTGCCGCCAAGGGCGCGATCATATCTAGTTACGGACTTGGTCGAACGTTCTAAAAAACCACTCGAGCGGCGAGCGTTCTAATTTTCTCAAAAGTGCTCGCGAGTATTGAGTTGTTTTGCAAAAGCGAAATCGCTTGCAAGTTCCAAGCGCTCCTGAAAGTGCTCGAACGGTTTATCGCGGGCGCTCTGGAAAAGTGCTCTTGAGCGGAAAAAACGCTCGCGATCGGCGCTTAATCCTTCAGCGCTTGAGGGCGGTTAAAATCGCTCACGAGCGAAAAAAAAAAACGCTCAGGAGCGGAAAAGAGCTCGCGAGCGAAAAAAATGGCCGCTCCGAAAAGCTTTTTCCGCTTGGAGCGCTTTTTGGAGTGGAACGCTCGCGAGTAGTACCCAGTTCTGGTAGAACTTCTAATAATTTTCATGAAAATTACTTAAAAAACATATTAGGTAGTAAAGAAGACCAAAAAAAATTCCTTATAAACTAAAGGGTCCTTTTTCCTTTGTAAACAAAAAACTCTTAATTACGACAAAATGTGGTATGTGTTTTTAAACAAATGAATCCTTTTAGTTTTGGTCCCGTTTTTTATCGATTTTGTTGATCTTTGACGTTATTTGTTAATGCGCAAATTTTTTTTTCTTGTATCTTGGTTTTGAGCCCAACCCTGTGTGGAAACGGGGACAGAATATTTCCACTGCAGGTGCGTACTGCATGCGGTAAGAGTCCGCTAAACAAAGGCACTCTTTCACTTCTCTTACACCTTGTGTGTATGCGGAAAATACTTGCCAATTATGACGGTTATTTTTTTTCTCAATTTTTGACTTTGATTATTTGAGTTATAATTGACGCGAATTTGTTTGGCACAACACATACCAGGAGGCCTTTAGATACAGGTTTTTGTTTTCTGAAGCAACGATGGGCTCACTTCCATGACGGAACATTTTCCTTTTGCAAATTTTTTGGCGGTCATTTCTCGGGGATGATTTAATCTAGTAGTAGGGTCCGAAATCCACTGAACGAGAGTGATCAAAATTTTAACCGATGGAGTTCCACTTTGGCCTATCCGAGTATGCTAAAGTCGACCGTCTGCCGCCTCAGGTCATATTACTGAAAATATGTATGCAGAACATTTTTTATATTGAATGCCCTTTTTAATTTTGCTCTCTGCATATTGTTTTAAAAATGCATTTTTGGATATACGAAAAACCGTTTTTGGCGGCCATTTTGGCAAGATGGCGGCCCCGGCCGTAGATTTTAAAGTATGCGTTTAGTTCCCAAATCTGTAAACTTGCAAAACTTCTCGAGTAATTTTTAAGTAAACCCTCCTTTTGTTCCCTGGCCTAATATGAGACCACTTCGAGAAACAGTCATAAATGTGTTTGTGGAAACAGTTGATTTTTTTGAACGCACCCAGTATATATTGGCAACGTCGCGAATGCACAATGTTTGTATTCTAACCTAAGTTTTTGTCTGCCACAAGTTCCATCAACAAAATACCCAGTTTGAATTCTGTGATACTAAAAAAATGTTTTGTAACGCTCGCTGTTCATCTACTTATGCATTTAAACTCATAAACATTACATACAAACGTACTGTTGCATCAGTCGCTTTGAAGCGAAATAATAAAGAAGATTTAGTCATAAGATGCAAGCGTAAAGAGTATAACTACTATATGGGGCAAAGGTATAGCAAACTGGACGACGTACCTTTGGCCTCAAAGGGATGGACTCATAATAAATCCAAAGGAGATTATTTCTACGTATATCCTCAGTCCCCCTTAAGCGAAGGCGACAGGTTTCAATTATCAGATTTGCACCTTCAGGATAGTGTAACTCAACGTTTACAGAAGGACGGCATTGAAACGTTGACTTCTTTTCAAAATGAGGCATTCGGTACAATATGCAAGGGACATCATAGTATTCTAACTGCAGAATCTGGGTGCGGGAAAACATTAGCCTATTTATTGCCGATTATTCACAACATAATTGGTGAGAAATCGTCCAGTATGAATTCTCCTAGAGCATTAATTTTGGTTCCTGGCCGAGAACTAGCACATCAAATCGCGTCGGTTGCCGAAAAGTTGGTCGGGGAAACAAATTTGAAAGTGAAAGTGGTTGTTGGCGGACGCACGAAAAGAGCGATGTTAAATCCCGAATTTTCCGAAGTGGACATACTGATAGGAACCCCAGGGGCATTGGGAAAACTGACCGGTGTCGGTATATATAAACTCAATCAGCTATCATACGCCGTGTTTGATGAAGCGGATACCTTAATTGACGATAGTTTTATAGAACGATTGTCTAGCATAGTCAAACGAGTAGGTACCTCGCAAATTATTCTGGTATCCGCAACAATGCCCACGAATATTCCTTCGATTTTACAACCTTATAACAACAGTTTTGTAAATGTAACTTCTCCTTTTTTACATAGGCCCTTAAACCACCTCACACAACAATTTTTACGATTGGGACGTTCAATCAAGCCGCAGCAGCTGTTACAAATCATTAAAAAAAATCGCGACCCTTTACTCATTTTTACAAACCGCAACGAGACGTGCAATTGGGTTTCGTATTTCTTAAAGGAAAATGGCGTTTCTGCTTCTAGAGTCAATGGCGATATGAACTACGAGGAACGGATAGTTCAATGGAACGAATTTCAATCTCAAAATAATCGCATTTTGGTAGCTACCGACCTTTGCTCTCGAGGGCTACATTTGCCGCACGTAAAGCATGTTGTTAACTACGACTTTCCGTTGTATGTGGCCGATTATTTGCATCGTATAGGAAGAACGGGCCGTTTTGGTCAGGAATCGTGTAAAGTTACCAATTTTGTCGCCGGCGATGAAGAAGTGAAAATTGTACAAAAAATAGAGGTCTGTAATTAATTATTTATAAAACAAAATTGAAGTGTATATGGTTGTTTTCAGCTAGCAATACGCAGGAATGAGGCAATACAGAATGTCGATGGTAACATTACAAGAATTTTACAAAGGAAATTGTTACGCAAAAGTACCAATGAAGATAGTTTTATGTAATTTATTTTTTAAAGTAAAAAACTTAATTTATTTCCTGTCTGTCTGTTTTAATTACCCAAAAGGCAAATGCCATCAATTTCTCAAGTTTCTTCATTTGGTTCTACAATTACTAAAGTGCATCTCCTTCCCCAGATGTTCTTTCTACATTTTGTTGGCATTTTTCCGAAGCTTCTTTTGTACTTTCTAATGCGTTTTTGGTTCGTAATTCTAGAGCTGCCAATGTTTCTTCAAGACCTAGGCCAGCATAGATAGGTCTTGTAAGAATATGGAAAAACCCAAATACTGGGAGGTCCATAGAATACTGTGGAGAGACTATGCACGTACAGGTCTGGAAAACGCCTATGGGATTGTGAAGTTGCTTCCAAAAGTACTCATGTTTTCAAGTGCAGCAGTTCTTACTAAGCGGCGCGACGCGTAACAAATCAAACGGTTCTAAAAGCCTTTTCTGCAGTTGCGCGTCGCCTAAGTGAGAATCGACCATTTTGATATCTATATAAAGTCCCTGTGTCCCTCACCCCACTTCACTTTATGAACATTCATCAAGATATATGGCTACAAAACTTTTCAACCATCTTCCACCACATATCCGCAACTGCACCTCCTCGAGGGAGTTCAAGAAAATGGCCCATAACCTGTTCGTCGAGCACCCCTACTACAGTATTGGAGAGTATTTGGTTCAAAAACTGTGATATTCTTATTTTTAATGTTTGTTTGTTACTGTTAATGTACTGCGATCTGTCTCCCTGTCTTTTTACACTTATTTGTATGATCACTATAAGGCAATCCAATATTACTTAATGTAATCGAAATGGAATTAAAGAAAGAAAGAAAGTTCGAAAAGGCCATTCTTTTGAGAGCTGCCCATATTTTGAGGATCTACGTTATCAATTTAGACCCGCCGATTTGATTTTCAAAACTATCTTAACAATCTTTCGGTCTGCGTTCCCGTTTTATTGTCTGCGCATTATCCGTTTTGTATTAATTTATTCTTCTGTATGTTTTCTAGAAATCCATCGAAGTCTTTGTTACCTAAACGCACACCGTTTGACCGTTTTTTAAGGCCTTTAACGCCCCTTTTTAACTTCACCAATAAAAAATAAATAGTAACTGGCTTAAGTTCAGCTGTCGCGGTCGTTTCCGTATATGTTCTGAACGTCATTGTATCTCGTGCTCCGCGGCCCATTTGAAATAAGAACGGAATGTTATTAGAATGCATAATCATCTGTTTCACTTTTTATCTAACCTTGCGGTTAAAGTGATCACTTTATCTACCCTCATGGTTAAAGGGGAACTTAGGCTACTCATTCAAACCTATTAAAATGTATATGACTATATTTCATTACTGGCTAGCAATTAAGGTAATACCTATAGTACCTATAGGCAAATTTTATTATATTGATTAGTTGTGACATCGCATTTGATTGGAAAAGTGTTTAGTTTTGTGACGACATTTCAGTAATCAGCTTATTTTTGAAATCTTAAGTCCTTAGTCTATAAATTCTCAAATTCCGAAACTTGACTTTTACGACCCGATCATTTGGCTGAGAGTTCAACGTGTCTCGTTTGAGAGCCACACTTTTTCTTATTAATTTTGGTGCGTAGAATCCAAAACAATTCGTACTTTTTCGATCGGACTTCTCAATCAAAAGTTATGGACTAGATATACCAATTTCGAAAGAAAATTCAAAGGGCTGTAACTTTTGAACTAGTCCTTCTAACTGTTTGAAATTATGGATTCTACAGGCCACATTCTATAAGAAAATTTTTTTCCCGGGTCGATCTCTGAGACCATTTTTTTCCGGGGCTCAAAAAAAGGCAGTGTATAACCTTCCTTTTTTATCAAAAATCGACTGCACCAAAATTTCTCGGGAAAACACTTTATTTGCATTTCTTCTTTAATTTGTTCCTCGGCAATTATATAAGAGTAAAGAAATTAATGACACCTTATTTGAAAAGTTGTCGAGCTCTGTATTTTACCCGATTTTACCTTACATTTCTAGCGAAGAAAAAATAAAATGCTGTTTTAGGGGTGGATTTTGACGTAGAAATGTCCCCCCCCCCCCCAACTTATAATTGATGTGTTTCACGATTTTTTACAGTTGCAATTTCAAATGACCCATAGGGGTGGCTATATAGTTAAAGATGAAATTTACCCAACGAAATTGGACTATAGGTCAACATTTTGGGCATTTTGACTACTGGAGTTTGTATTCTTTGTAGCCATCACACTAAAATAGACGTACACGAGGTAAATGCGAATAATGGAAAATCTGCGATTCGAAGATTATGGGTTTTTTCCAGTAGTCAAATGCCTACAAGCATATACTCTGAAAAAACCCCTCTTATATTATATACCTATCAGAGAGGTTTCTCTTGTTTTTTTTTGGATTAAAAAATTCAAACAAATTTCTGTTTCGAAGTAGTGTAGTTGGTGTATTAATAATGTTGGCCTCCTGTCCGCGCTTTTGTTGCTATAATTAGAATCGCTACTAGAGAAGAGTTGTTCTCTTGGGTTTTTTTTAACAACATGCAATGCTCTAATACAAATCATGTAGGTATACGTTCTTTATAGCATTAATTAGTAAATTACTTGTGTATACTCAATTACAGAGCTTTCAAATTCATCGCAATGATACAGTTGGTCGCTATGCAGTCGCGAACTCTCATTATAAACCTGGGGATGAAATATTTTCGGAGACACCATTTGCTATTGGACCTAAATCAGGTGGGAGCTTATTTTGCCAACGTAGGCTATGATTGAGAATTAACTTTTTTTTACTGATGCGATATGCGGAACATCGATTCACGGCCATACTTGATTTATGCTCTTCGGAGAATGGATCGGCCTCCATAAACATATTTTATATATTGAATATGCTTTTAAGGAAGGTAGTTCTTTCTTATTGTCTTAAAATAAATCCAAATTCCCAAAGATGGTGTACTATAAGTATAATAATAATAATAAGTGACCTTTATTAGATTACTGGAAGTAGAGGTACAGAACGAAAAAAAAATATAAACATTCAAGTAGATAATAAACTAAATAATTAAAATTAAATGAAATTAATGTTCCATAATCTAACAGGGCGAAGTTCAGTTCTGTGGTGAGACACCCTAGAACTGCTCTATCACTTAACCCCACCCTAAACTAAGAAAATAAAACAATTAGTGGAATGAACTTAAAAATATGTATATTGAAAGGGAGAGAGAGATAAATAAATCAGTCGTGGTTCTAAATACAGAAGAAGAAAAGGAAATATAAGTGTAATAACTATAGTCTATCTCACCTTTCACCTTACAGTACAGGGTTGTATGGTCAACAACGATGCCAAATGTAGTCTCTATAAATCGCATCACCGCACTAAAAACTCCCATAAGGATTGCATTGCCCTATGTTCCCTGTACTGTAAAGTAAAGGTGGGACTGACTAGGATTCGAAAAAGTAACTATACCTACCAATCTTTTGTAGATAAATCAAGTGGTTTGTTTCACTTTAAATAAATATAAATTTACAGATGGACCCCCAGTATGTTTAGGATGCCACATTCCAGTCGATTGCTCTACCGTTTGCACCTCCTGTAAGTGGCCTGTTTGCGGGAGAACTTGTGAAACTATTTCTACGCATAAGGAAGCAGAATGCATTGTATTTACAAGAGCAAAGGTGCCTTTTCAAGGGCCGGCAAATCCATGTCTACAATACGAATGCATAATGCCAATAAGGTATAGGCTTATCTCGATGAATCTCAAGTCACTACTTTTGAATTATTTAAGAGTTCTTTTGGCAAAGTTGCGGAACAATGAGCGATGGAGTCGTGAAGTGGAAATGATGGAGTCCCATAACTTGGCCCGATGCACGCAGCCCATCTGGAAATTTAACGAAGTTAATATCGTAAAGTATATTCGTGGGCCATGTAAGTTGGGAATTTTTACTGAAGAATTAATACATGCGGTCTGCGGTATATTAGAATGCAACGCCTTTGAGGCTTACGCTAAATGTGGGTATCCTATCAGATGCCTATATCCTAAATTGGCGATTTTGTCGCACAACTGTGTATCCAACACCATGCACTCTATCGACAGCGAAAGCTTCAGAGTAACAGTATACGCCAGCACGACTATTCGTGATGGCGAAGAATTATTTTCAAGTTACACCTACTCTCTATGGCCTACTCTTGTACGTAACGAATTTTTACTCGACAGTAAATATTTCCAATGTCAGTGCAAAAGATGCTCTGATCCTCTAGAAATGGGGACGCATATGAGCTCATTACTTTGCGATAATTGCGATGGAATTCTCACTTGTGAATCCCCAATGAATCGCGGCAATTGGAAATGTTCCCATTGTGCAAATTGTCGCACCTATCTTGAAGTTAAAACAATATTTACCACCTTACAAAGAGAAATTGACCAAAACTTAACGGGTGAAGAACTCCTTGTAAAATACAAGTCAGTATTGCATCCGAGAAATGCGTACTTTGTAATTATAAAATCTTGTTTAATTCAGCATTGTCGTTTACAGAAGCAGTACGGTAGAGCGATTCAGTTTGCTAATGATGTTTTGCAAACGTTAAACATTATTCAGCCCGGCCATACCCGCACCAGAGGTTAGTATTGCCGCTATTATGGTTTTATTAGGTACTGAAAAGCTCATATTGTAGGTGTTATCCTTTACGAATTATTTTTGAGCACTATTCTCTTAGCAAAAGAAAATCAGCCGAATTATCGGAGTGTGCATGAGGCATTATGTATTTTAAGAGAATCTGTATCGATATTAAAACTGGAATCTGATCTCAGCAAAGAGGGCAAAATGGGAAAGAAGGCCAATCGTCAACTGTTGGAGCTGGAGGAAAATTTTGACGATATTATCGAGGGAAAAGGTAATATATGTGACCTTGTAAATGGCAATTAAATTGCTACAGATCTTTTTGTTGTGGGATATGTTGAGTAGTTAAATTATTATGTTCATCATTGATTTCAAATTTACTTATACCTAATTAATAAGAGTCAATTAAAATGCAGAAACAATCCAGAATTCTGTTTATTAGTTATTATTGTTACATTTCAGTGGGTTTGTGCCCTACAAAGAAAAGGACGAGGGTGCGCCTCCGTTTTTTTACACAAAAATGCGCATCTGCTGGAATGTTTTGTGCGCATATGAGCTCATTACTTTGCGATAATTGCGATGGAATTCTCACTTGTGAATCCTCAATGAATCGCGGCAATTGGAAATGTTCCCATTGTGCAAATTGTCGCAGCTGATGGCTGTTGCTTATCAGTATATTACGTTATCGCGGTAATAGTTTTTAACTGTAATAGGGTGTGGGTATAAGTACAGTATCGGCAAAGAGTAATATTCTTTGGTATCGGTGCTAGCCACTGCAATTTTTTTAGGGGACGAGACGCGTTTCGGCGAAGGGAACGTTTCGACTGAGGATGTTTCGATGGACCACCGCGCCGCCTAACAATCTTTAAGAGTATTCACTCTTTTCTTCCCTCACTCTGTTCTCTATCTACTGCCATCCCTTGTTTACTCCCTCTTTCATTCTCTTTTACTCTCATTTGCTCTATCCTAAACTTCCTGAATCTCATATGATCTCTCTCTTGCCCTCTAATCGTCTGCTATCGCCTCGCACTCTCTTCTGCTGTTTCTCCGACTTTTGCCTTTTTCTGTATTGCCCTCTCCTCTATACTCTCCATCCTTCCCCCGTTCTCTGCGGTTCTCCACTGTAATCTTCTGCATTTTTTTGTGATCTCCAGTGCGTCTTATTCCAAAATCTCTTCTGCCCTCTTCAAAACTCTCTTGTCCTTCCTGCTCTCACCAACTCTCACTTGTCCTCGGCGGAAAAAGTGATTTCGCTAATTTGTTCTCTAAATTCCATTGCAAGTTTTTACATTGCGGTTTGCTCCTTGAGTATAGATCGCTTTGGTTACTTACGTAAAGATCTTTGCAGCTATACGACCCGCCTTTTTGGATAGGGTTCGATACATTGGGAAGAAAGTTTTAAACCTTCAAGTGCTTTGCAAGGTATTTCAAGTACTTTTCACATTTTTTTATGGCTCTTAACAGTAGCAAAACATGCCTATTTTTTTAGAAAAGCGTTACAGAAATGCACAAAAAAAGCGCGTCGAAGAGTGTCTTCAAAAATGCCCTTGCTATATTTGAATTTGCCGCTTAACTTGAGCCACTATACCTACGAGTAAAAATATGAGGAGAGAATATAACGGTGGTGGGAAACAACAGCACGCGGCCATATCATCATATTATTTTCTTTGCGCTGGTCAGTATGTCGATTTGACGGATCATAAAACAGAAGAGACTATGTCGCTTTTGTTTTATTACGCCACTGCCAATGATGACGCGTTTCCCCCCACTCTTGTAACTTCCTTTATGTCCATTTCCGTCTCGTAACCTTTTAAGACGCTTTTAAGGCAAGATTCTCTCCTCTTATTTTTACTCTTAGCACTACACCCATTCTGCTTATAACGCGGGTTGCCTGTATAAAACTTGAAAACGGCATAGAATCTTCTAGCAAAAATAACTTGAAGCTCTGGAAAACCCTCAAAACTGTATAGAGGTCGTTCTGAAATAGCTTCAAGATTACTTATCATTTTTACCACCGGCACGGTACGTTATTAAGTGTAACGGGGGTACTGCATTGGCGTAAAAAGCGACCCCCCACTTTTTTGACGGAAATACTTGTTTTACAGATACCTGAATCAAATAAAATCTCGGATGTCGCTCGGTCTGTCTGTCTGTACTTTCATTTCCTGCTGAACCGATTGGAACCAAATTTGGTATACATATTCATAGACATGAAAGGAAGAGCTGAAAACGTTTTGGACAGTGTGGCAAGTGTGTCAAACTCTCATTTTCGGCTAAAACGGCTGAACAGATTTTGGAACTACATTTGGTACGGGAAACTGCAATGTATTTTTTCTCGAAGGATCCACGAGGCCTTTGAAATTAGCGCTCAACGTATTTACTCCAATTTCCTTCTGGCATCAGGCAAGCGTAATAACGTACGTTGAACGCTAAGTTCAAATACATATCAAAGTCCTCGTGGATCCTTCGCGAAAAATACATTAACTTCTGTTTGCCTATGGTGCGTTCAACCTGGGACACACGGTATATTTATAGACATAAAAGGCATTATAATATACTTATGAAAAGAGGGCGGAATCGCGCATGCGCAGATGTGCCTGTGGTACCTGTGTCAGCCACAGATAATTTGTTAAACTTGCAATATTGGGCTATGACGCGGGGAATATTTCGAGGCGCCGGCGCCGTTACCTATCTATATTTACAAGGTTTTACTGTGGATCAGGACTTGATCATAATTCTAAACCGGGAGTGATAACAAACCAGTGAATCTGTTTGACTTATCGTAAAGCCCCCATAAACGTATAATAATAATAATAATAATGTCTTTTATTAATGGCCGTTTGCACCGACAAATTTAAGCGGAGCTTAGCTTAAGCATACCTTAAAATCCATGGCAACCATTGTCTCAATAATTGTTGCCATGGATTTTAAGCTAAGCTCCGCTTAAATTTGTCGGTGCAAACGGCCATTATCACGCTAATCATAGTAAGTAAAACGACTATCTAAATAATACAATATACGTATGCGCGATTTAAAAGGGCGATACTAACGGAAAGCTCATTAGCCCTGTTCATTCTCTGCTTTTGCTTTTAGACCTAGTAGTCCCCATCGAGAAAGGTAGTCCCAGGATACATTTACTGCATCTGCACCTGCATCGTGAGTAGTTCTAATGGTCTGTGGTAGTTCATTCGTACGGTCACTTGGAGATCGGTATTCGTTTCCTTTTTTTTGTTCAGCGGCAAATTTAAATCAACAGATTACAGGTGAATTATTTGTGATGGTTTCCACAGAACAACACCTTAAAAATAAACTTGCTAAAGAGTTACAGGCAACACACGTTGTAAGTATATTGCAAAAATCGTTTGGAAGCCTACGTTACACCCCGTCCTAAACCTAACCTCAATAAGTATTTTGCCACATTTCATGTCTTAGTTTAGTATGAACACAAAAAGTGAGTTTTTACTGTATGGCTTGGGGATTCTAACAGCCATTTTGCTTCGTTGCGGAGTTTCTTTACACCCTTATTCCGGTGCGGGCAAGCCTCCAATGTATGGCGACTATGAAGCACAGCGGCACTGGATGGAAATTACCGTTAATTTACCCATAACAGATTGGTACCGTAATACTTCAACTAATGACCTACAATACTGGGGTTTAGATTATCCCCCCTTGACCGCTTATCATAGTTATCTCTGCGGCGTTGTTTCGTTATTCATTAACCCTGAATATGTGTCACTTACAAAATCAAGAGGATACGAGACTGAAGAACACAAGCTATTCATGCGTTACACGGTTCTACTTGTGGACCTACTATTGTTTATACCTGCCGCTGTGGTATATTTTAAAAGTGTTTACAAAAAAAACCCGAAAAAATCACTTATTACGCCGTCACTTGGGACACTCCTCACTTTGTTGTATCCCGGACTGATTTTAATAGATCACGGTCATTTTCAATACAATTGCGTCTCGTTAGCGTTCGCGGTTTATGCAATTTTATTTGTGTGCACTCGGCGTCCCGTGCTTGGCTCAATTTGCTTCTGTTTAGCGTTAAACTATAAACAAATGGAGTTGTATCACGCAATTCCATTCTTCGTTTATCTGCTAAGCACCTGCATACCAAAACCGGGACAAAGTGCTTTAGTTGGAGTCACGAGATTAGCGAAAATTTCCGGGACCGTAATTCTGACCTTTGCCGTTATATGGGCGCCGTTCTTAATTAATGTGTCGAGCACTTTCGACGTTTTACGCAGACTGTTTCCAGTCGCCAGAGGAATTTTTGAAGATAAAGTAGCGAACGTTTGGTGTACTTTAAATGTTTTTTATAAACTTAAGCTGTATATCGGTAATGAGCAAATGTTTAGGTATTGTACTGTTGCGACGTTTGTCGCGGTGCTGCCGTCGAGTATCGATTTATTTCTAAGGCCTAATGTTAAGAAGTTTGTTATAGCGCTCATAAATTCATCTTTGGCATTTTTTCTTTTCAGTTTTCAAGTGCACGAAAAAACAATTTTGGTGGTCGCCTTACCAGTTATGCTTTATCTACCTGTAGAGCCTATCGTGTGCTTTTGGTTTTTGATTTTATCCGTATTTAGTATGGTACCATTGTTGCTCAAAGATGAGTTAATGGTCGCTACTATTTCCTTAGTATTGTTTTATATAGTTCTGTTTTATATTATATGCGAATACAGACCGGGCTGTAATAATGAAATGTTTTTTCCACGTTATGATAATGTAATACAACTCATAAGTGATACCAAAAAAAGTGGACATTATCGTTTATTATTAAGAACTTTTAGGAAACATTATAAAACCTTACTAACTATGGGCAGGTCTCTGTTAATAATCGCATCGTTAAGTGGATGTGCTCTTTTCGTTGCACTGATATTAATTTTTCACCCCCCAATGAATTATCCCGATTTATTTTCTTTAATTATTTCAATTTATTCTTGTTTTCATTTTTTGGCATTTTTTATTTATTTCAATTTTGTTCAATTTAATATTCCACCAGCTGTTGAAGATATTAAGCATTTTAAATTTAAAAGTGATTAAATGTGATTAGGTACCTACTAATAAAACACTTCCCAATTTATTCTTGAATTTTATTGCATCAAAAATAGCCAATAGAATGAGAGGTTTATTGTGCGTCACTAACCAACGAAACCATACCTTTGTTTCTATTGGATATTTTTTTTTTGCCATTTGTTTTTGAGTGGGCGGAGTTTCAGCCAAGGCCAACCCAACCCACTATTATTATATATATGATAATGATCTAGTGATAGTGAACTAATGATAATAATTGTATAAACCCACCAATAGTCTTAAATTACACTTGATAGTAATGTTTATTTACAGGAAGTTCTGGATGAATCAGATGGCTGTGGAGGAAAATTCTCTTGCATAATTGTATCAGAAAAATTCACAGGGAAACCGCTGCTGGCCCGTCATCGGTTCGTATTTGCATTACTTGTACACTATAGTTACCGCATTCATTTAGGCTTGTCAATACGGCGTTACAAGAAGAATTACAAAGTATACACGCGTTTTCGCAAAAAACTTACACTCCGCAAGAGTGGCTGACACAGCAGCAAAAGTAAAATGCACAGAAGCTGTAATAATCCTGGTGATTAATTGTATCTTGTTAAAACATGATTTATTTCAGTGTTGTAGGTTTGTGTTTCAACGTGTCTGCGCCTGGCAAAGTGATTCTGTACGGTGAGCATTCCGTTGTACATGACAAGCTCGCTGTCGCTGCTAGTTTGGGACTCCGTACATATCTTCACTTCGATGAATGCCCTTCATCTGATAATATTCATTTTGATATTCCCGCAGTTAATTTGGAGTACAGCGTCAATTTTACGGTAATCGCAAGCACACACTTATGGTTTTTGTGAAAATGGTAAAGTAGGTTAACTGAGGGCAAATGAGATAATAATAAAAATTTGAAAGTAGATCATCTTTAAGTTAAAATAATGGCGAATTTAGCTGTCGGAACTCGAAGCTTAGTTTTATCCTAAGGCCTTGAATCTATGTAAAGAAAATGGGCGATCGGGGCGACTAGGGCTGTCAATTTTGGAATCTCAAATTCCAGGATGAACGCTATTTTGGGTTGATTCGATTAGCATGAAGATTTCATGTTTTATTTATGGGGTTGAACAAAATGAAACTGAGGTCACGTTTCTGATATTGTAGATGGCACTGATGTTTTTACATAATTTTTGTTTTAATGAGGATGTAATTACCTTGATTGTTTTGTTAAACGACAGTTGCAAAGTGAAAATGGAAGGTCTGGGCGACATGGGTCTGTATTTTATTTGATTTTCCCAAGATGTTTGGGATCTTGTGATTTTACTTGTGACTTTACCTCGCTACTAAAATCCCAGGCCCAAAAATTTGGGTCGGGGTTGAACCCCTGGAACCAAAACATTTTTTTCAATCAGTCCTAATTGTAATTGCAGAATTGCTGAACTGTTTTTCCAAGCATTTTGGAACATCGTCGACTCTGTCCTGAAAGTGGTCGCTCATAGACAAATTGAACGTAGTCCCAGACAATGTTGTTGGTTTATGTTATGTTTTTGGGGTTTATTAATTAAACGAAGGCTTTTATAATTTAGTGAAAGTGTTTACATCCTAGTTGTTTCTAATGCAGGCTACCAAGCCTACTTAGGTCTCATATAATATATGACACGCCCCTTCTTAAAAAGAAACATAAAAAACATGAGTTAATAAAAAGAAAACCTGGGCATAGGCATACAGGAAATTCCTTTATATGGTATAGGGAAATTTGGTATCAAACGACGTAGATTTTCATGTAGGTTTCGAAAATGCAATAAGATACAGTGTAAAATAATAAGCCTTCATTTTTTTTTAAATTAAACTCCCTTATTTAATTGTTTTTTTAATTATTTTATTTCATAGCTGTAGGGATTTCAGTTTTAAAAACTCAAATTTAATGTATTTAAAAAAATATGTGCAATTTTATTTTATAGCAGAGGTTAAATTGACATTTTAATAGGTTGAGTCGCTCTTTAACCATAAAGGTTGGTAGATAAAGTGATCACTTTAACCGCACGGATACATAAAGTGAAACAAATCATTGTGCATTCCCAGCACATCTGTAATTTTTTATTAAAAATGGGACGCGGAACACATTATAAAATGAAGTTCAGAACAGAATACAATATTGTATGGAAACGACGGGAGACTAAGCTTGCTATTTTGGACGTTTAAATTAAATATCTACAGAATTTTCAGAAGCTTTATAGTGATTTTTATGGCTTCTACTATAAAATAAAATTGTGTATTATACACAAAGATGAAAGTTAATTTTTAATTATTTATTAATTGCTTTTTGGGGTATATGCAAGGTATTTAGTTAACGTCGTTCTATTTGTACTAATTTTCGATGGGAAAAACTCACTCTTTAAATTGGAATACCAATTTTACAAAAAAAAAAACATGATTGATGCAATTTTGGCACTTTATCGGAACAAATATTTTTAATTAATAGCTTTAGCCTCGTACAGGATCATACTACATGCTCGGTGTGCTTGTTAGCAAACCGGCCACTAAGTTTAAAATGAAACTAAACACTTGATTTCGCAGGTTCTGCAACAATGGATGAATAATCTATTAGAAGACAACGGTTCAACCATCACCCTAGGACCCGATTTACTAGATCATGCAGAAGTGGTCACAAGTGTACAATCATTTCTTAAAAGCAATAGCAAAGTCGAGTTTAATGAGCAACAACTTGCTTCGTTAACAGGAATTTTTTATTTACTATTTGGTATTTTACATTCCGTAAACGAGTTGAAGCCATTTACTGTTACACTTGGGTCTGATCTCACCCTGGGTGCTGGAACCGGTAGTTCTGCATCGTTTGCGGTAACGGTTGCTGCAGCTTTCGTCTATTATAAACATTTTAAGTTGCTCTCAGCAAAGTTAACAACATTTTCTGACGATGAAAAAAGTTTAATTTCTAAATGGGCATATTGCATTGAGAAAATTAATCACGGTTTGCCATCAGGTAATGAGGCTCTTGTGTATTATATACAATTAGTGTAATATTTTTAGGTATCGACAATGCAATTTGCACTTACGGGTCTATGGTAATGTTTCGTAAAAGTGAAGGCATGCAGCTGATGTCAACTTGCGAATTTCAATTGTTACTAATAAACACCGAGGTTTCTCGGTCGACCAAACAGATATTAAATAATGTAATCGCTTTAATGCAAAATCACAAAGCAGTAATAGATTCAGTAATGGCCACGATGGATTTAATCGCTAAGAGCGCTGTTAGCTGTATAATAGAAATAACTAACGATGTGAACAATCCGATTTTGTATCAGAGATTGGGGGTAAGCGAACTTGCTTGTCGTCATTATTCTAAAAGCCTCTGTTCACAGGAACTCACCCACATAAATCAGTGCATGTTAGAATCTTTAGGTGCCTCGCATCCGACAATAGATAAAATTTGTAGTATACTCAAAGCAAGTGGGCTTAATGGAAAATTAACTGGAGCTGGCGGCGGCGGTTACGTTATTGCAATTATTCCGCCTTATGTATCGAAAAATCTACTAAATGATTTAATTGAACAATTAAATTCGGAAGGTTTCCGTACTAATCTGACAAAGTTGGGTGGTTTGGGAGTTAGTATTTCATGAGCGCAGTTCTTTGCTGTCTTAATAGTATCAATGGTGGTGTGTGGTTTCGATAGAATAAGTGGTATTGGTAAACGTTGGAATACAATATTTATTAAAATGATATTTATTATTTTTACTATTGTGTTATTTACACATTCAGTGCAAACATAAATTGTTATTAGCAGGTTTAGTCAAGTAGAGGCCTCCAGCAAATACAAGTCTTCGAGGCAAATATTAAGAGTGAAAGATTGAAAAGCTTCTTGCCTTCTCTTTCTATTGTCCTTGCTAAGGTACTCTAGACTCTAGATAAGAAATGCAATGCAATGCACTTAAAAAATCTGAAAAGTCTTCTAAATGCTTCACAGAGTCATAGGTAGAGACCGGATGCATTACGTAAATATTGTATGCAGCTGAAAATAAAACCATAATTTACACGAACTAACAAAGAAAATAGTGCATTTTTGGGGTTTTTGCGCATATTTAAGAAAGATTACCATTTTATTAACTTTTTAAACCATTTTTATTCCAAAACAAGTTTCCAGTGGTTGTAATTGCAACAATTATATTTTTATTTATAATAATAATAATAATTTTTATTTTATTTGATTTATTATTTGTTTGTCTTTATAATTTATCTTTGTTGACGAGTGTAAGTGTATAAACACAACATACAATAAAATATTATTATTATTATGGTGGGGGGTTCTCACAAGAAACACCGACCATAATAATAATAATATTTTATTGTGTGTTGTGTTTATACACTTCCACTCGTCAACAAAGATAAATTATAAAGATAAACAAATAATAAATCAAATAAAATAAAAATTATAAAATAGAAACAGAACTAAAGAAAACAATAAAAATAGAAAAAAAAACAAAAAGAAAAAGAAAAGAATAAAAAAATAAATTATAAAACGTCGGGGGTGTTCAATTCAGCATTAATTTATAATGCAAGCACATTTTCAAGTTCAACAAATGAGATGACGAATGTTAGCTGGGGAAAATGTTGAATTAAAAAAATTTCAATGATTTTTTGTGCATTATTTAATTTTTCATGCATATCTTCATGCTTTTTTGCCATATTTTTTGTGCATATATATGTGCATTTCTGACTTGTTTTCATGCATATAAATCCGGCCCCTAGTCATAGGGGCTTTCGAAATGTTTTCTTATGCAATAAAAACATTTTTCTATTCCCTTTGCTCAGCTTGGAGAGTGGCCGAAAAGGAAGCGAGAAGGAGATCTGGAAATGCGGTTACTTCTAAAGCTTTGTAAGAGCAATATAGCATTCGAAATATCAACTTCCTTGAGTATAGGTACTTATAGAAATATATTTTTTTGAAACTTTAACCTTAGGTACTCGCCAGGGTACTCGCTCAATTTTTATGCTAAAGTTTGTTTCTTAAAAAAAGAAAAAAGGTTTTTTACTTTAAAAATTTTTCAAGAAAAACGTGTAGTTTTCCCGATATTTGACTGTGAAACTCTCTAATTTCGAGCGTTTGACAAGCTTTTTCGAGTTTTTCGCGAATAACCAATTAAAAACGATGATCTTTTCTATGAAAAACTAATGGGTACCTCCGGTCGCGAATAACTCTAAAAGTATTAATTTTTAAAAAAAATGTATAGGACACTTTTTACTTAAAATTAGTTTTTCTATCTATTACTGTGTTCAAATTGGTATAAAAAATTCCATCCCAGAGATGGGGTGGCAACCACCCCCAAGGTGAAAACGTCCTTTGGCCTGATATAGATTTTGATACTTAGTCTATTCCCTATCTACGGTCAAAATTTCAAGTTAACCGATTCTTTTTGATTGATATTTGTATTATACAGTGCTATTTATTAAGAAGTAGACATCTGATAGATGCACCTATACGTATTGTTTCTACTTTAAATAACAAAAATTTCGTCTCTTCTTGAGGAGGTTGGTTGGTGGTATGGACACTAACTTACAAACGAAGGTGCTGGGTTCAATTCCCGGGTCCGCCAACAAACAGCCTTTGGCGTTTTTACTCCTCGAAGTTGACTCAGTCTCGTTAAAAATGAGTGCCTACCTGGGGTAATAATAGGCGGCTTTGGCACATAGTGCTTGCCTTACTACTTCCCCGGAATTAGTTCGTTTCCAGCTAGGGTATTATAAATAACTTCTTAAAACAAATAAAGATCTGGCGGTCATATTAATTAGTTTGAACATTGTAAATAATACATATACAATGCTTTGAATATTGTTGGTTTGGCGCTCCTACTGTTTCCGGCACTATACCAATTGACAATATCAATTTTTTCTTCAGTTGAATACATCACCAGGAATGAAATTAAAAATAGCAACAATATTCAAGTTAATTTAATGTGACAGCAAAGAGTAACTAATAATATTCTTTGGTGACAGCCAGATCTTTGTTTTAAGAAGTTATTTTGGTTGCATAAAATTAGGCGCTCTTCAGAAGAGATTATGTCATTTCAATGGTACTGCTTCAAAAATATGTAAGAAAGTGATAAGATTACTTTGATTAATGTATTAGCAAAGGCTAGCACGTGTCCCCGTATGGTATTAAATGGAATACAATAGGGAACATAACTTCGATTTCCGCGGCTGCGCCGCCTCACCTCGCCATGTTATTTCCCATCCGAGATAACCGCGCTTCAGTATCGGCAGTTTTGCCGTAGTAACTGGGCGAGGTGAGACGACCCAGCAGCGATTAACTTTCGCCTGAAATTCGCGCGCTATTGGTAGCTTCGGTTCTCCTTTACACAACGGAAAAAATATACGGTATAATTACAAAAATAAATATTAATAATAGTAAGAAAAAGGAACATCCAGCGGTAATTTTACAATTCAAAATCTGTAGACAGTGACGGCAGGAAATAAGGGAACGGGAGTGCTTCGAGCTCCACCAGAAGCTTTCGGTCTCTCTTGCTTCTGGAGAAGAGGCAGTCGAGCTCCGAGTAACTCCAATGCAGAACGGCGGTCCCAGGGATCTAAAGGGCAAGCGCTGGGCGGCTACTGTAATTGGTGCTAAAACAAACTTAAAGCGCAAAGTAATTTCTGTAAATACTTGAAATAGCGAACGCAGCTTCAAACTTCAGATCTATGCTTCATGAAGTCTAAAGCAACATACCAAGGTCTAGCCTTAAATTAGTAATTAATGGAGTGTCTTCAATTTACTTTTTTAAATTTTCAAATTAAGTCGTACGTCATTGGTGATGCTGGCCTGTATCAAAATTCGCAAGAGAAAAACTCCCGTAATATTTTTTCTACAGTTCTTTTGAAGAGAATATTCGCTTATTTAAATAAGGGCTGAATTGTAGTAAAATTTATTTAATTTCAGTTCCGTCGTTGAACTAACAGTATAGGTAGGTATTCAAAAACACTTGCAGATGTGTTCCACACTGACTCCCTGTACTGCGCAAACGCAAGCGCGCTAAAATTTGAATTTGCTTTAACGTGCCACCGTTTGTTTTGTTTATAATACCAGTTCCTGCTGACTTCCATATTACAAACCAAATGTCGCTGTATTTTCGGAAAGAATAGGTTCTTCTTCTCGAATTAAAGCCTTCGGTCACTACTGTGAATTCCAATTAAATACATTATAGCGCCAACTTGAAAGCAAACCTCTACTTTAGCTATCAATCATGATCCTTGTAGTCTGGATTTTTGTGATTCGTTCAGCACCGGACTCTCTCTTTACCATAGGTCAATGTTGGTCTGTAACGTTATTGCTGTAAGTAAATGTCATTAACTCTTTCTAATTAACTATTACAGAACTTACCGAAGCAGTTGCCTAATATCGCCTTTGGCATATTCTATGACCATGCACTCCAAATGTAGATAACAACAAAATTCATCTTGATAACATGGCATTTTCATATACCTACTACATATAATAGGTAAGCAGGTAAGCTAAATTATCTTCAATTATAACGTTTGCCAGTTATGTGTATATTATTTACCCCTTACACTTGATAGCTGTACACAAATTCAAATTTTAGCGCGCTTGCGTTTGCGCAGTACAGGGAGTCAGTGTGGAACACATCTGCAAGTTTCAAAAACTCAGTTCGAAAATGATCCAATCAAATTCAGACTTTGGTACGCTTCGACTCTCTGGATTGGAGTATTTTTGTGAAAGTTAGAAGACGATTTTGAAATATGCACTTATAATCAAAGATTTCACAACATGAGTATTTTCTTGTCTTGACGAATGAGCTGGGGACAGGGTAGCGTTTCGTTTATTTAAATTGGTACGTGAATTTTAAATAAAGGCGCCAAGTGACGTAATTGGGCGAGTACGCCCCTGCGCAAATCCTTCTTTTGTTGTGTCATGTTGGGCTGATTTGATTTTTGCAACCATTAACTTGCAAATACCGAATTATTATCAGTGATCGAGCAAGAAGAACAGCACATGAGTAAAATAATAACGTTATGCATATAAAATTGTTATGTTGATCAAAGAACCCAAAAGTAACTTCAACATTAAAAAGTGGACTGCGAGAGGTGCAGCTGTTGTACTTGCTGTTGAAGTAGCAGGCTTTCTTGTCTCGTATGCCTTTTGGAATAAAGTAAACAAAGATAGAGGTAATTGACTTCGATCTATACACCAAGTGAGTTAAATACGTCCGCACGTCTTGTATCTAGACGTGAATAAAGCGTGTAACTCATGTGGTAAATTTCGACAACATTAGGTATATGAAATGTCAAAATTGTCAATTGTTTTTAGATTTCCGTCATCAGTTACAAGAAAAATTTCCACGGGTGCTTGGAATTTATTATAAAGTCGACGAGATACTAGGAGAAGGTACTATCAGACAAACAGATCACGAATGCTGGTCAAAGGAACTTAAGCAGCCTTAATGGAAAAATATGTAAAGTCGGTAATATGGTTGTTTAGTGCTAGCGCAATAGGATACGGTTGTCTTCTTTTAACTCAAAGTCAAAATAATGTAAATGACGTAAGTCAACGCACTTTGTTGTCACATGTCAAATCTATTTTTGTAGAAATATACTGGAATTGATAAATCAGAAGTGAAAAATAATAAGAGGCAGTTTATGACAGTCCTTCAAGCGGCTGCCAATACAAATCAACCGATACATCGTCTGAATAAAAAAGAACTTGATGCTCTGTTAAAAAATGAATGTAATGCAAGAAAGGAGTGATAAACTAACGACTTCATTAAATAAACGCGAATTGGAACGCAAATTAGACATAGAAAAAAAACTGGAAGGAAAGCAGCAGTTGATAGCCGAGCACGAACAATTAGAGTACTTTACTAAATCATTTAACGAAAAACGGATCGCAGTCGAAAATGCCCTAAAGTCGTCTTCTTCAGTTGACGTAGTCGACTTGCCCAAACATTTCGACACAATATACAAAAGTATCTTAATGTTGCAAAAGTATGGGGCCAGCTCCAAAATATTCCTACGAATGTATGACGTGGAACGTTGCCATCAGACCGTACACGAATTAACAGTACGCACCAGGGAATTGGAAGAGAACTTAATACCCAAGAAAAAGTTTGGCTTTAAAAATAAAAAACCGAATATTACAGACCTTAATGGACGTTCTGAAGATGTCGTGGATTATGCTGCACCACATCAGTCCTACGAGGAAAGTATATGCGGATTCGAAAATAGAAAAAATGAAACATTAATAATGCAGAAGTCTGATGTCTACAAAAATGACGTAGTGTTACAAAATATTGAAAATTGCCTAATTAAACTGTATGGCACGCCGTCAACCTTGCACCTAAACCATGTGAGAAACTGCCTGATACTTAGCGGACCCGTTTCCACGTCCATTTTTGCTGAATATTGTAACGATCTTAAAATGGCGATAGCGTGTCAGCAGTTGAGGCTGCACAGCTCTTCCGATATACACATTTACTTGCACGTAACCAGTAGGGCGATTATGGAAGATTGTAATAACATTTTAATTGCGCCATATAATTTTAAGTATGACAGTTTGAAGGAGGATTTTGTCACTGCTGGCTTAGATCAAAATATTAATAATTGGACTTCGGTCGATGATTTTAACTGGTTAAATTTACAGAAGAAATCCCCTAATTGGAGTATTTTACAAGAGCATGAGAGGATTAGTGATTGGGACAATTTTACTTTACCTTGTGGAAAATTTCCTGATTAAGTATTTATGAAAATTCGTGTAGCAGATCAATAGATTATTATATTGTATAAATTCTTTTCATTCTTCAACCTCTATACAGGGAATTTTGTCTTATATTTATACATGTTGGGCTATGTATACTTTTAAAAAATTGGCTGTGGCTAGTACCTGTGCATGCGTAATTCTGTTCTGTTATGTGTACCAAATTTGGTTATAATCGGTTTAGCCGTATGCCAGAAATGAGACTGCAAACAGCTCATCAAGATTTTGTTTGTTTTGGGTTCCTGTCTTTTGGTGCTTTAAAACGTGTATTTTTGAAAAAATGTCGGGGGGGGGGGGGGATTTTTACCCCAATCCAATAACTCCCTTATTAATGTGCGGGTAGTAAACTGATCAAATGTATCTAATCATGATAGTAGGCAATCAACATTTCACGCGACAAACTGGAGCATGAGCACTACCGCCATGTTAATATTGCAATCCTTTGTGTTAAAAATCACAATTTGATAGGTAACCCTAATTTGACATCAAATAATCGAGTTACTATTTCCATAACATACAGATTATATTTTAAAACAATTTCTATAGAGTTGGTTGCCTATTACAGTCATGTATTCCATGCATTTGGTCGGTTTTCTTTTAGTGCCGTATTAGACAAGGACATCTGGCGACGCCATTACTGGTTTGACTAGTTACTGGGCAATATTAAGTGTGTCTGGGTATCCTCCAGCATTGAATTCCTCCAGTATCCCCATTTTTCTTCCCACAGGTCGTTACACTCAACAAATATCGCAGAAACCGAGCCTAGAGCTAACTTTATTACTTTTGGACTTCGGTTCTGGCATTGATTATACAGAAGTATAATCAATGCTTCTGGGTTTTAATCAGGACAATTCTTAATTTAGAATAGATATTTTACATTGGACCCTGTAGATAATGTGCATATTTAGACACCAAAAACAAATGCCGTAACCTTGTAAGTATTCACTTCTATCTACAGCTGTTTTTGACGTTTCTAAATCGTACACGTCAAAAAAAAAAGAGGCTGTACACCGTAAATAAATAAATAAATTCATAAAGTATGAAAAAATGACTGATCTGGACGGGGAAAATTGGTAATTATTCTTATAAGGGCCGACAAAATTTTCAACTTGCTATTTTCAGGATTAACGAATTAGAAAGCGCATTGCTAGAGGAATGTTCTGCAGCTGATGTGTATTGCATTTGCAAGGGTAGACCCTTACCTGAACAGTTGCGGTCGGATATATGGCAGGTTAGTCGTGGCCCGTGGTATGTGCGCTTGCATTCGAGTATTAACTATTTATTTGCAGATTTGTTTAGACGTGAGAGATAAGGGAAATCAGCTGAATCACTTCAACGAAATATTTGATCTTACAAATCAAACAGCCTTACGAGAAGACTGCACAAGTTTCGTATCGAAATTGGGTAACGACGAGGAGGATAAGCTTTCTGTGGTGTCCGATTTGGAATCGATTCTAACATTTTACTGCAAAAGTAGAAACTTGGAGTACGAACGGAATAACGGTTGGATCGATATTTTGCTACCGTTATTGGCACTTAAGGGTCAAAGATCCACGACGTATAATCTTTTTGAGGCAATTCGTGATACATACATACCTCAAAGTTGTAATAAAAAAAACGGAAATGTGTTTCATATTTTAAGGCTGTTGTTACAATATCACGATCCGGAATTATGCTCATTTCTGGATACGAAGCGGATTACACCCGACATGTATTGTTCGACGTGGTTCCAATCGTTATTTGCGGCAACCTGCAATCTACCTGTCGTTATCAATATGTGGGATTATTATTTCCAGCAGTCCGATCCGTTCTTTGTATTTTTCCTGTCCCTGATAATGGTTGTGAATGCGCGTGAACAAATAATGCAGATGAAGAACGAGCCACGCGAGGTGATAACTGCTACTCTTATAAATATGCCATGTGCGCTGGAGGCGGATGATGTCGGAGATTTTTGTTCGTTGGCACAGTACTACGCGCTGAAAACACCGTTCTCTTTTCGCAGAGATTTGATTCAAGCAATTTACAGTGAGGAAAAGATGGATTCCACCACAATCTCCCAGGCGTTGTGTTTACCCGTCTCCGTAAACGAATTGGTTAGTCTCTCGTTTATAAAATGTAACGTACTTAAATACTATGTCCTAGATTGAAAATTGCAACTCCACAAGCAAACTGGATCAGGTTCGCTTTTTTCTGGTAGATTGTCGACCCATTGAACAGTATAATGCTGGGCATTTATCGACAGCTTTTCATCTTGACTGTAATTTAATGTTGCAAGAACCCAGTGCTTTTGCTACGGCCGTACAAGGCCTTTTGTCAGCCCAGAAACAAGCAATTGTAATAAATTCTAGTGCAGGTATTTAGTCATATTCTACAGAAGGGCCACATGTACATTTTTTTTGTGCTCGGAATATTTCAGACTTTAAAACAGGGGCACAATATTCAAAAGGTGGACAAAGTTATTTAATTTATGGTTTTATGGTTCAGTGGTAGTGCGTTGGGCTATAAATCCGGAAGTCGGATGTTCGAACCTGGGTTGAGGTGAATTTTTCATCTGGGGCAGAGATGGGAATTACCTTAGACCAGTTTCGAGCATTCTGCCGGCTATTCCGAATTAAGTTTTCCCCTGCAGTTTTCCTAATTCGTAAGGTAAATACCGGAGTAGTATAGAGCAACAGAGAGCACCACTCTGTAATTGGGCGGGGCGCAAGCGTGTTGAGGGCCCAGAACAAGAGAGGGATAATAAATAAATAAATTAATTAATTTAGAATTTGTGTTGTGTACATCAAGTTGTACTTGTTATTCCATCAGTGTAGAAACAATTAGTGAATATTGTTTTATGCAGTTCCAATGGTGTTAAAATTTAATACATAAGATGCATAGGGGCCCAAGAGCTCTGGACAAGATTCAGATGTTGCTATTGAAATGCAAAAGTAAAAAAAATGTGTTTAAACAAAATTAGTTGCTCTATACTTGACCTGTAAGGGCGATCTGAAAATGTGCATATGTATAGCATCATTAAATGGGCCCCTCCATATGAAGAATATTTTATATAATTCATATTTGATATCCCGGCTAGTTGTCGCAATAATCAACTGTCTCATGATAAATGGGACACCCTGTATATAAATTAAGTGATATTTAATATAAGATTACGAAACTGGTAATCGCAACTCACAAAAGAAATGACCACTACACCCCAAGTCGTTTTGCTTATGCCGGTGCAGTTAATAATGTTGCAAAATCATAGATAACCTTCCAAGAGGTGGATAAAAAAGACGCTCTTTCGTTTCACAAATACAATTTATTTATATAATTCCCAAGGAGACCGCGCTACATGTTTTCAATAATTAGGTATACATTATTTTTTATGTACATAGGGTGAATTGAAGTCTAACACCCCCACTCATCAAAAATACTTAGGTATCAAAACGCAGACAACAGTTATTTAAGTCTACATGTTTTAAAAATCTGTTATTTTTAACATTTTGTAACTGCTATGTTAATATGACAGCTATCATTTTGCCAGTAGGCATGTATTTAAGGTAATTTTGCTCTAAATTCTATCGCGAAAAGAAGCCGCTTGTGTGTAAATAATAATGGTGAATATTTTGAACATTAGCTGAGATGGATTAATCTTTTTACGTGTAGTTACTTCAAAGTAGAAATTTAAATGTAATAATTCATCATTTCTTTGTGCTGTTGCTCTATTTGCGGTCCTAAAGTTTTAAGTTTTTCGCTCATATCGAGTAAACTGATTTTTTTCACAAAACCAAAGCATATCTTGAATAAGCACTTAAAACGAAAATCGAATCTCCATATGTGTTATGGTTTCCAAGATCCCAATGCTTAAAATAATAATAATAATAATAATAATGTTTATTGACCGACAGATATAAATACATCCAATTACAGGTCAATTACTAGGTAATAAAGCTAAACGTAAGGTGCATTATAGGAATATAAAAAAAAGAAAAAAGATTATAGTAGAATTTATAGAAAAATTATTAAAAAGAAAATTTTAAGTAAGTATATAAATTAAGAAATTAAAAATCAAGTACTTTATTTGTGCCTAAGAGTTAATAAGATACTATCTAGAGGTGAGAAGTGGATGTCGCACATATTTGATATTTTATTGAAATTTGCACACATAAAATGAATAGGAGAAGCAGCCAATATGTTTGTGTTCGGTTTAGAGCAATGAAAAAAACACCCTGTATATTATATTATATCGTACTTCATTTTGTTGATTGCTATCACCTGACTTAGTTACCAAGGATACAATAAACAAAACAAAATCTATAAATCCATAGTCTACTATTGAAAATACAATAATAGAGGTTTTCATGGCTAAAATTAAAAAAAATATAGGTTGTGATACACCAATGTAATCAGGAAAAATAGTGATTGATAAATAATTCACGTTAACATGTACAGGGTGTCGCATTTATAAAATACCAACTTTGCCACTGTGGCTCAAATCTCAGAAATGGTGGTCCAAAAATATGGATTCTATGTAAAAAAAGAGACTTAACCGATTGCATGTTAGAAATATGAGTATTGATGACAGATCTATATGTTGTGTAACAAAAAGCAACCTTTGGTATGCGTGCAGCAGGTTTATTTATATTTTAAATCAATGATTTTTTACCTATTTTACAAGGGTAGTAAGATGCGATAACATCACAAAAAGTCGAACTTTTTCTTTTCACCTTGTATCTCAGAAACAAACGTAGCTAGATTAATTCTGAGATGTACTGCAGTCTCATCCACAATAGGACACATTGAATTTCGCTTTATACTGTTGCATTTGTTACTAATATTCTAGTCACTTTAGTTTCCTTTGGGTAAGGGAAGGTAGTTATTGTGTGCAAGGTAGTTCAAATTCGTGGCTCACCATTGGGAACTGTGTAATGTTGAGAGATACAATGCAGGTTAAATGGGCACAAAGTAGCACCATTTGTGACCAAAAAAACGCATTTGAAATTTTAAAAAATCTATGAAAAGAACTAAGATATGTCAAAAATGTAAAATTTCTTTTTCATTTTCCCGAGTTTAAACGGTAGGAAATGGACCTTCCATGGAGACTGAATTTCCATGGCACGCTAGTTGTAGAAGCTACGGGCTACTACTTGCTTATTTCTTATGGACGTCAATATTGGATTTGTACGGAATGAAATAGAGGACAAAAAAAGAAATTAATTTGATTCAGCAAGATCTAGTTATCCGCGAATGTTTTGTTCAGAAATCAATGAAAAAATTTGATTTTGACATTTTTCTTGTATATTCATGTTATTATTTTCATTTTTTGTCCTCTTTCTCGATTCATTGTTATGGAAATGCAAACAATTTTTAATTTTAGCGTACATCGCGATGGACGATTTTTTGAAGCCTTTAATTTTCCTAATTTTTTTAATTTTTGAATTCGAATTTGTTTCTTAATTTTACAAATCTCATGTATTTATTGCTCAACTTTTTAATTGTTTTGAATTTTCCAGATTTGTTCTGAATCTGAACACCTACTTGTATACTTGTTTCCCTTAACGTCTGAAGCGAGGTCTGAAGTAACACAACAATCGAATTTTCCGTGGTGTTCTAAAAAATATTGTAACGTAAATTTAATTACATGGTTTATTTATTTACAATTAATTAACAATAAATTTATAACAGTAAGTAAAAAAGTAATTTATAACAGGGCGAACTATTTATTACTTCACTTAACTCGAAACACAATTCAATTTGCTTCTATGGCAAATAACATTCTTTCTAGAATGTCCTCGAGTGCTCAAGGAAGCTTCATGATGTTCTAGAACACACATACACATTTGAAAATTACAAAGTTGCTCCCATTCCTCGCAAAAATGAGGATTGGGGGAACCACTTTTCCAGTGATTCGATAGAGAACAACATTAGTAAAATCTGTGGGCGATTTGCTAAAAAATGTAAAATTTATTCATTTTTTTTAAAGTACAGAGCGTACTTCCCTGCATTTCGTTATTATTTATATTCCCCTTCCTTAAGATGTTTAATTTTTTCAAATTATTTAAAAAATGCAAAAGCGTAATGGTATATTGGTGTATCAATGCCTTGTCTTTCATGAAACCTATTAAAATTTTTTAGAAAGCACACATCTTCATTTTTTTGGCATGAGAAACTTGGGAAAGGGTGATCTAGAAGGTATTGGGAGATTGGAAGAACGCTCTGAAAAGCATCCAGCTTTCAAGAGTCTCTTAGTGTTTTCCTGCCTCTGAAAACAGTCTAGTCCATTACTTAGTCTTTTAAATACCTTCTATGAACTCATGAAATTTAATAAAGAGACAATCAATTAATTATTACACTAAATTTAAAGTTAGAATTTCGCGTTCGATCACGAAAGCCCGAGTACAACAAAAATTAATATGAGGCCCGTCTAAACACCCTGTGTGTAATTATCGAATATAATTTTTACTAAATAACGTAGGTGGCGAACATCTGTGCTTTCTGGGTTCCGGTCGGAACGAAGAAGATCAATATACGCATATGGTTGTTGCATCCTTCTTACAAAAGCACACTCAATATGTGTCCTTTTTGACAGGTGGATACATAGCCGTGCATAATTACTTTGGCGAGCACGCGTCCGAAAATCTTCAAGATCACGATCCTACGGTCTGTATTGTTTGCGCTCCGAACGCGAGAACGAAAACGGGCGACTTAAAGACGGAACCGTCCAGAGATCTGTTTGGTAAAATTTCCGCCGCGATGAAATCAAAATCGGCGGAGGTTAAGGGGAAATTGTTCGAGTACATTGTTAACCCCAACAGTAGTCCGGTTCAAGAACGTCACGTTAGCAGTACAGATAAAATAGGTAAACGATATCGTAATGTTGCGCCCGTGTTTAGTATCGATGATGATCAAGACAATCTCGCTAGTATTCAGGTCTGTAATAGTAGCAACGTCCATATACTCATTTGCATACTTTTAGGGTGCCGAAAGTGAAGACCCACGCGAAATCGTATCATTACAGGATTGGTTGCAAAGTCCAGACATTATCGAGCAGTTTCCATGTGAAGAAGTTAAATTAAACGGTTTGATGTACAAGAGCTATTTAATAGTGACGGATTCGCATTTAATCGTACTACGAGAAATCTCCGAAAAGAAGGATATAGCCGAAATCATCGTACGACGGCCGTTGTCCGCAGTTGTTAGAATAACAGCAAAAAAGAGACATCCCGAATTGATCACATTCAAGTACGGCGTGCCCGATGGGGATTCGGTCCTTATTTCCGACATGGATCGATTTTTAATTCCAAATGCGAGTAAAGCGACAAAAGTTGTTTCCGATCAGATTGTAAAACAGTTAAAATGTAAAGATTAATAATATGTACTTGTATTTAAGTTTACCCTTATCAATTATTTGCAACTAACGCACCTCTGTATTACTAATTCTAAGGACTAATCTACTAACCTTCCATATTATACTGGAAATTTACGGAAAGCCATTATTATTTTATGATCACAAAATGCATATGGGTGAATGGGTTCATTTGGTAAACTTTTGTGAAATTCAGTCTCTTAAAATTAATAACATAACAATTTTTTGTTTAGCAATGGTAGGCAATTCGAGTCCGACCTAATCAACATCTTACTTTATGTGGGAAGTGTTTTTTTACAGATTACCATTTGCTTCACATTCCAAAAATTGATGAAATTTGACTAAATGTATCCATTACTCCTGGTATGTTTCTAAAGCTTTGTAATCTAGGAAATAGCATACACAGAACACCATTAAAAAAAAGTTACATAGATAGAACATTCATTTGTAGAATATCGGGTGATCAAAAAGAACTGCAGACAGTTTAAATTGGGCGCTTTAAGTATTTAATATTTTTTACTTAAGGAATTGGCAAACATGTTTAGAAGGTAGTTTATTTATGTATTAGTGATTAAATTGATCCACCACTGCTTTTACATAAATGACATTTGGTATGTTATCAATGTTATAAATGTTTAGTTTTACGGAAAATTCAAATTGTCCGCACTACTTTTCGATCACCCGGTATAGTCATATTCATTGTCCAAGTCTTGTTCTTTTATTTATGAACAGATCCTCCACTTGTAATTTTGAGAAGATTTGGAGGCAAAATGTCCATACTGAATATAATTATGAATAATAATAATATTCTTCTCACAATATTGCCTTTAATAGAATCTTTTAATATCCTCTATTAGAATCTGCCTCAAATATTTTTTTTTGTTTCATTGATTACATTTAAGAGTGCCACTACTAACCCTGCAACTCGGCGACATGACCCCCCACCCAGTGGTTCTTAATTTTGTGTTTTTGTAACAAAATGTACCTTTCTGTCAATTCAAGTCCTTTGGAGAGGTGTAACTTCTACTGTACTTCAAATACTTATTTATTTGACTCTGTTTAACCCTTGAATGTCCGTGTCATTGCGCATGAAATTAACGGTAACGCCCATGCGGGATTTTGAAAATAAAACTAATTCTCAAAGTCAGCACTATCAAAACTTAGAACAATTCTTATTATATATTTAAAATGAAAACAAAAACATTAAACATATAGAATACGCGAAGTAAACTTCAAACGAAACAATTTCGCGCATTTTAAAATAAACACTAAAATAGTTTGTGAATATATATGTTAGGGAAACAGGATAGTCTTTGGTTATGGTGAAAGTAATGAATGTGGTGATTATTCATAATCATAGGTATAAATTTGGGGTGCATTTCTTTTCAAAATATTAGGGGAAGGAAAACTAAGAAGATATTGATTTAAAAAAAATCATTTCTCCTCCTAGTATACTAATACATACATATTATTGCTGATACATACCTACCTTAGAATTAGCCCTGTTACTAACTCCGACAAACAACTACCTATACCTGTAGAAATATATCGCCGGAGTTCCATTGAGCATTCAAGGGTTAAATTAAAAGGGTCAGTATTAACGCTATAATTCCGCATGGATTTTGGTGTACACATAGATATACCTGGCCTAGAATTGAAGGGGTGTAATTTGTAACTTCTGCTGCGCTTCAAATATTTTCCTTTGACCTTGGTTAATGACCCTATAATTTGTCATGAAAAAGTCCCTTCAGCGGTTTTTAAAATATAAGCATTGTATAAATACAACGATATAAGTGTCTACATTTTTAAAGAAAATTCTATCGAAATTCAATCATATGTCCTTTGAAGGTGTGTATATACACCTATGCCTCAAATATTTTTGGTTCTTAAGACCCCCCCCCCCCCCCCCTCCTTTCAGAAGTATTTCAATGAAGTATTTTTCAAAGAAAATTCGATCTTATACTTAAACAATCAAGCCTTTTGAAAGTGGTGTAACTTCTGTTAAACCTCAAATATTTGTCTTTTATCGACTATGTTTAAGGATCACTATTCACGCTATAATTCCGTATGAAAAAGCCCCCTGGTTTTTGAATTAACGAATTTTTGTAACAAAATTGGATCTTAGTCTACAGGAGTAATAAAGGTCACAGACCATATCTACATATATGGAACCGTTAACGGCAGATTCTGTTAACCAAAGGGGTCAAGAGAAACCTTTGGAAATTATTTTCTAATTTTCTTCTAATTAGTTTCTAGGTTTGCCGCTAGAGGGCGTACGGTTAATGGTTAAGTAAAAAAAAAGATTTTGTTAAAATATACCCAACAAACATGGATCACAATCTTGTATACCTTTTGCATCATTTTGATGCAGCACATATTGCTCTTGCTCATACAATATGAGCATAATTTTCACATAGTAGGTATTGTTGGTAAGTAGTAAACGTGATGAGTGGCAGAGGGCGCAGTTTTCTTGAAAATTTCAAACACACATTTAAATTGCCATATTCGTCCAAAAGTTGACTTTGAAACACACTGCCACGCAAAAAGGGTCTTTTTATGAACATTTACGTTAGTCATAATTATTGTTTCCTTTATTATCTAATTCAAATTTGAATAGGTAATTTATTTGTTGCTCATAATTTAAAAACTTATATATTGAGTGTTAATTTTAATTATCGCTTGTTATGAGTTCCTTTGTTGTTTCAAAGCCAACTTGGATGCAGATAAATCATATATCAAAATGCGGTTTCACTGATATTTTTACGTGTTCATCTTATTTGATAATATATACCTAAGTAATATATTGTTCCATTTGAAATGTTCAAGAAAACCTGCAAAGTTTATGTTAACGTCAAACCGCACAGTCTTTGGAGGGGTGAAACCTCTGATGCAGCTCAAGTATTTGTTTGTTTGACCGATTCTGTTGGAAAGCGGTTGCTATATAGTGCACTCTACTATAATTCACATGAAAAGGATCCTTTCAGCGGTTTTTACATTACATTGGACATCCATTTTCTCTTTCTATAACTCGAAATGGGGTGCAATGATAATCCACGTTTAAGAACTTTTATGGGGAAGGTTTTGAGTTCTTAAACGTGGATTGTTTTTACATTAAGTAGGGGGTACTTACTTTTCTAACAAAATTCGATCTTACTTAATATACCGTGTGTCCCCGGTTGATCGCACCATAGGCAAACAGGGATTAATGTAATTTTTCGCCAAGGATCCACGAGATCTTTGATATATGTATTTGAGGTCAGCGTTCAACGTACGTTATTGCGCTTGCCTGATGCTAGCTAGGCAGAGATAGGAGTAATGTCAAAAGGTCTCGTGGATATCCTTAGCCAAAAAATATAATTATTGCCGTTCTACCTGGAACACACTGTATAATCATATCCTATAGGTAGACGGCTGTGTATAACTTCTTTTGCGTCCCAAACATTTTTCTTTTTAGTTTCCTCGATTGAGCTGTGTAGCTGTGGGCGAGCGGACTCTGGAGCGTCACCAAGGTGTTTCTCAATAGTCTCAATCTTCGCATTTATGCAGGCTTGCGAAATTTGAGTAGGTACATACTTAATCAGTTTAGAATAAAATTTAGCCATTACATACTTTGCAATTTTGGATAGTATTACTGTATCCATTGGTACCTTATCGGCATTGTATCTAATGCTGAATTGCTGATTTCGTTTCAGGAGCTCGTTACTGTTTCAAACTAAGATATTAGACAACCAACCAACGACAAAGACAGACGGACGGACAGAAATTTTTGAAATAGCAATCCAAAATTGTTTAAGTATTGAAAGCTTATTTGCAAGTGATTATTTTTCTTTGTTTAACATACAAAAATTGGGATAAGTTTTATTACAGAAAACTTGGGAAACCTATTAAATTATCCGAAATCCAACACCTTAGTGCTAGCACAAACAGTTAGGGGATGGTTTCGACCTGCAGGTGTTGGTCGCAGGGAGGGCATAGAGCGACGGTGGTTGATGGATTGGCCGAGGGGGCCTAGTCAGAGGGCCACGGCGGGGAAGTGTATCCCTAATAATACCTGTGCGCGCGCGGCGTAACCGCGTAACCCTTTTTGAAATAGGTATGACCTCCATATGAAACCTTCAGGATGTCTTCTTCAACGCGACGCATTCAATTCCAATCGCCAATCGGAATGTCCTGAGATACAGGAGGGTTCAGCGCCAGCTCTGAGAGAGAACCCCCCCCCCCTCCCCGGTAAGTTACCTAATTAATTGGCGATGATTGCGGATAAGCAGCGGCGATGTTTGTTTCCATGTACCCTCGAGCGCAAAAGATGACCAGTCAGACTGAATTCTGCCATGCCCTTTATGAACGTAGGTACGCGTACATTACAGAAGAACGTTTCTAATGAATGGTAAGTTTACAGTTGATTTGTTTAATAATGACCATGTCCTTTTGCAACGAAAGCGTTAGATTTGGATTAGAGTTCATGAATTTTTCCCGCGGAAATACGTAAAGTAGAAGTTATCTGTATAAAAATGTTCTGGGTTCTAGAACGTTCAGCCCGGGTCTGGTGCTAGGCAACAGATTTTCATTACCTAAACAACCCCAATTTACTCGGTAAAATACAAACCTCTTGTGCAATTATAAGTGATAATTACATCTTTTTTAATTAAACGCGTTCGCTGTTCCACTAGAATCATCTTTTTATTAAATATTCTAAGGAAAGAATAGTAAAAATTTAGAAATTCGAGAGATCGCCTACGATACTTATTATTGTACCACCTTCCATCCTATACGAATGCAACGTATAGTACATCCATACTAGAAAATGTACCTAAATGGTTATTTTGGACGATTATAATCAAGTACCTATGTAAAATGTTTATTGAGAATCAATTCACATGTCGGTATCATAAAAATGGTCGAAATATTGTAGATCAATTTCTTTAATTATGAAGCAAAGTAAAAATTTACTTTAATTAGATATTTTTGGTCCAGACTGTACCCGCGAGATGCAAAAGTAAATGTGCACTATAAGGGAAGTTTTCCTAATGACGACATGGCCCAAGGCGAGGGTGAAACAAAGAACTCAAGATTTGGCGATTATTTTTACACATTTTTTGAAGGATTTCTCGTAATTCATGACTCGTATACTTTTACAGCACCTCTAGTTCCATCCCTATCCCACCCTAATGCAATTAAGGGATTTATCAGGTGAAATTATTTCCTATTGTTACTAAAAGAAGCGCGACCTGCATGATTTGTCTGATGGTGATTTACGTAAAGATGACGTAACAAGTTACGTTCATTTTCGTTTAGCCTCTTATCATAATTATGCTCTATGAAGCGTATATGAGTAATGCAAAACTACGATAAACGTTCACCCCGGTTGACCCTGATAACTGTTATATAGGTAAATGTATTGCAATTTTCGAGTTAGTTTCTAAATTGAAGTGACACAGTGCGCATCTATTTAAACAAGTGCCGTCGTTTTCTAAAGGTACCTTTGAAGGGTGAGATTTTTAATCATCCATAAAAGCACTAGGTAATTGCATCTAATTTAATAGTATAGGGAAGATTACAACGCTACAATTCCCCAATTTTTTAAATCCTTTAACCAAAGAGTAACACACTCTGCTTTAACTTAGTATCGAATATGTTGCTTGATTGCAAGGGGAAAGGTAATTTAATGATTATAATTCTAAAAGGGCAACAACAATAAGGGAGAAAATCTATTTTTCGGGATTTTTTTTAAGGTTGTTGTAATGTATACGTACGTTTAAACCGCCTATACAAAATAATGTATTCTTTGTTCAATTACAAAAATGAATAATTGAAAGTTCATGAAATTTGGACCATGGTTAAGGGCGATGTATATGAGTGAACTATGTTTAGCTAATTAAAAAAAATAGAATGTTTACTCAAAACGTGACTTTGAAGTTTATGAAATCGTAAATAATAAATAGGTGTAAAACAAAAATTGAAAAAAGCAATTTTCACACATAATGACATAAAATTGCACCATTGCATGAGATATACAATTTTTAATTGTCAATAAAATTTTAATAAAAAAGTGTGTAGGAGAAATTCATTTAAAGTCCTCCCCTCTCTAGACATGCCCAATTAGTAGGTAGTTACCCTAATTTTGTAGTATATAAACAATAGATCCTACGGATATCTAAATGCTTTTATTATGATTATTGTAATAGACACGAATTTTAAATGTAATGGTAAATACTAAATACCTACCTATAACCACATATCTACAGGGTGTCGTATTGCTTTATGCACGCATAGGGATTTCAATGGTAATTTTGTTATATTGAAATATTTTATACTTTTTTTTGTACTTTTTGGTATGTTGTAAAATTCTGCGTCTATTCATGCGCTCATTTGTACTTTTTTGTTGTTGTGGGAAATCGGAGAAATTTAGAAAATTACAGATTATTGAAACAAAGAAGTAGGATAACTAAAAACTGGCGCTTTTCAGAAAATCAGTGGTGCCATGGGAGTTTGAGATCAAACAAAGCTAATTGATGGCAAATGCAGGCGCTATTGTTTGATTCCTAATTCCACGGCATTACGGACTTTATAAACACGACAGTTTTTAATATTTAAATTTGCACTGTTTCTGAATGTATAAAATAAGAAACAGTAGTATGTATACGGATTCGTAATTTTTTTCTCTACACAAAACCTAAAATAGACTTTATTTCTCGAATAGTTAGGGAAGTCAATAATTGGAAATGAAAAAATTACTATTGAAATTCCTATGGTGCGTTCGTCAAGTCACCATCCCGTATAAATTAAAATATAAAATGTTTTTTTCTTTTTTCCCATTTCAATAGGAAAAGTTCCATAACTTATAAACAAAATTAATGAATGTCCTCTTGTAGGTATGTTCGGGAAAGCCTGAACTACTTGCATGTCTTTTTGCAGGACTTGGAATCGAATTTCAATACCATGATCGACATATCGAATTTTTTAATATCATTTATGAATGAACTACCTGCGAATTTAGATGAGTCAGTTATTTTTAGTAGGTAGTAGGTGGAGATTTTGTGGCTTTTGTTTGAAATGTGATTTTAAAAAACTGCTCGACAATTTTGTTCCTTAACTCATCAAGTATGTACACAACAAATTTCGCGGAATTCTCTCCATTTTCGTTGTCCCACCGAAGAGATGCAGTGGAATTTTTTTTTCGAAATTTCAAAAACTAAGTAATTCCAGATTTTCTCCCTTTCTCCCAAACGAAACACGTCTACACTGTACTGGAGAGATGCAAATAAAACTTAATACAGACAGATATAGAATTTTTGGATTTTGATTTTAAAGATTTTTTATACTCTGTTTCACTGTTTCCGCAATTAAATATCAAGCTAGACAGTAAGGGCGTACTGTAAACAAAATAACTATTTTTCAAAATTGAGTCTTTTTGACAAAAAAATGCCCCGATAGAGTCTAAGTCTAGGTTTCTTCATTTTTTAAAAAAGTGTTTTAAGTAAATTTTAACTTATTGTGTTTTATTTTCTGCTGAAGTTTGACGATGTATTAGTTATTGGGCCAACTCTCGATATATTGCCCCCTTGAATCTTACTATAAACAGGTATATCTACTGCTGACCCGTCTTGCTTATTATGTTTTTTAATGTCTTTATTTTTAAGTGGGCAGAATAAAAATTTAAGTAACAAAAAATTTTGCTGATATGTTTTTATTTCTAGCGACATGCAGTTCGTGCCTGAAGGAATGACGATGATGGTGGGAAGGAATTGCGAAAGTCGTCATAGCGTCATCAGCAACTAGATCCTTTTGGAATCGTGGTGGAATACAACATGCGATGATCTGATAGGTATGTTCAGAATTTTGGGAAATGATTATTATAATTTTACTATACTCAATCGTATAAATTCAATCTGCTGAATTCTTGAATTCGTTCCAATTTAACTGATTGAGCACAATGTTTCAATTGGTTCCGTTTTTTCAAGTTGCTCGCAACGGGCTATTGCATATTTTGATATTCTGATGTACTGCATACGGTTCGAAAGATTTTCCTTTTCTAAGTCATTCACGTAAAAATAAAAGGTCATGTTTTGTAATAGTAAAAAGGTACCTACTTATTTTAATAGTATATAGTTTCAAACAGATATTTTATAGCTAGAAAGTAATAGAGAGTAAGAAGTCAGCAAGGTGCAAGGTACATTAAACAATTCGAGTAAAAAGGGAAAAGGAACAGTTTCTCAATCGGGTTTGTTTCAAAGGGTTCATGCTGAACGGGAATTATTCGAAAAAATTTTATTGATAGAATCCAGATCCCAAAGGAACTTGACAGCAACTCTTTTTTGATCGCATAGGCCATAGTACATCAGATTAGTTTATCGAATTTGCTATGGTAAAACTAAAGTCCCTAGATTACTAGTAATTACGTGTACCTACCCAATTAACAACTTTAGGGACGGATCAGCATGATGTGGGGTCGGCGACATCTGGGCGTCATCCCCGAGCGCGTTATACTAACCTGCAAATTTTTCAGTTTTTTCCCATCTTCTTCTACAGTTTTGGTCTAATTGTTTTCGAAATTAACCACCGAGCATTTTTGGTTAATTTTTAAAGAGGTGCAGATTTTAATTAGCACACATTCTTTTTTATCCTTTTGATTAAATTCATTTTGTTTAATCATTATTATTATATTGCGAGTTTTTTTATTATAAACTTTCAATAAGGGATCGCACTTTTTACAATTTCTTTCGCACAGATATGACTGATTTAATTAGGGTATCAATCGCTGAAGGAATAGAACAGAAGAGTGCCGGTTGTCAATGGCAACCCCTAGACAATGCTCGAGATAACTCATCTTTTAAGACGATCAATTATGAAATGAAACTTTCGCACAAGTTAATAATTACATATATTTTTTAATTAAACGCGTTCGCCGTTCCACTAGAATCATCTTTTTAGTAAAAATTGTAAGGAAAGAATAGTAAAAATGATTTTTTGCCCCATTCGAGAGATCGCATACGATTTATTTATTACTGCACCACCGTCCACCCTATACGAATGCAACGTATAGTACATCCATACTAGAAAATGTACCTAAATGGTTATTTTGGACGATTATAATCAAGTACCTATGTAAAATGTTTATTGAGAATCAATTCACATGTCGGTATCATAAAAATGGTCGAAATATTGTAGATCAATTTCTTTAATTATGAAGCAAAGTAAAAATTTACTTTAATTAGATATTTTTGGTCCAAACTGTACCCGCGAGATGCAAAAGTAAATGTAGACTATAAGGGAAGTTTTCCTAATGACTACATGGCCCAAGGCGAGGGTGAAACAAAGAACTCAAGATTTGGCGATTATCTTTACGCATTCTTTGAAGGATTTTTCGTAATTCATGACTCGTATACTTTTACAGCACCTCTAGTTCCATCCCTATCCCACTCCAATGCAATTAAGGGATTTATCAGGTGAAATTATTGCCTATTGTTACTAAAAGAAGCGCGACCTGTATGATTTGTCTGATGGTGATTTACGTAAAGATGACGTAACAAGTTACGTTCATTTTCGTTTAGCCTCTTATCATAATTATCCTCTATGAAGCGTATATGAGTAATGCAAAACTACGATAAACGTTCACCCCGGTTGACCCTGATTAACTGTTATATAGGTAAATGTTTTGCAATTTTCGAGTTAGTTTCTAAATTGAAGTGACACAGTGCGCATCTATTTAAACAAGTGCCGTCGTTTTCTAAAGGAAAAGCTTAGGTACCTTGGGGGTGAGATTTTTAATCATCCATAAAGCACTAGGTAAGTAATTGCATCTAATTCAATAGTATAGGCACGATTACAACGCTAAAATTCCCCAATTTTTTTAATCCTTTAACCAAAGCGTAACCACTCTTTGCTCTAACTTAGTATATGTTGCTTGATTGCAAAAGGAAAGGTAATAAAGGAATAAACGAAACACGTTTGGACCCTGATCGTTTATTTGGAAAAAGTGCTTTTTTACATGCTTATATGTGACACCCTGTATAAAACGCGGGACGAAACTTGACGGATAATAAAATTAATAATATGACAATTGTTTAAATTGCCACACAAGTTATCAGGGCATATGTGATTAAAAAACAGAACATCAAAATTCAAAACATCAGCGTCAGCTCGGGAATATAAAAACAACCCCTCGTAAGTACAGTTAAAGTAGACGAGAACAATTGCCCTACATAAATACCATCCGGTTACAAAAATTTAAATACCGAGATGACATTTTGTGGTAGGTAATCTGTCGGATGATTTTCAGAACGTGCTCATTTATTAAATTTCAATAATTTTAAAAAGAAATTCTGTCTGGTATATGAACAAAAGGGTACCTACTGCAGTAGTACATTTTTTATTCTGTCAATTGGAAAAATAGTAGGTACTTTTAGTTTAGTTTGAGTTAGTGTCTTCTTTCACACTTATTCCTAATAAGCGCAAAAAGCCTGATGCATAAGAAGAAAATTTGATTATGCAATGAAATGTATCGACACTCTTTAGAATTGTGGGTATGACCATGACTAATAAAATAACATTGCGTTCAGTTCGGTACACTTTCGACTGTTATCTATTGTAATATTCAGATATTTAAATTTAGTTTCTTAGTGGACGTTAAAGGGTGAGCATCTACAAAATACATTTTCAAAATCATTTAAAACATGCCCATATAAATAATGAAATTTAAGTGGTTGTTTAGGCAATAAAACTTAATACAGACAGATAGAATTTTTGGATTTTGATTTTAAAGATTTTTTATACTCTGTTTCACTGTCTCCGCAATTAAATATCTAGCTAGACAGTAGGGCGTACTGTAAACATATTAACTATTTTTTAAAATAGAGTTCAAGTCTAAGTTTCTTCATATTTTTAAAAAGTGTTTTGATGAAATTTTAACTTATTGTGTTTTAATTTCTGCTGAAATTTGACGATGTATTAGTTATTGGGCCAACTCTCGATATATTGCCCTTTTGAATCTTACTAAACAGGTATATTTACTGCTGACCCGTCTGATTATTATGTTTTTTAAGTGGGCAGAATAAAAATGTAAGTAACAAAAAATTGTGCTGATATGTCTTTATTTCTAGCGACATGCAGTTCGTGCCTGAAGGAATGACGATGATGGTGGGAAGGAATTGCGAAAGTTGTCATAGCGTCATCAGCAACTAGATCCTTTTGGAATCGTGGTGGAATACAACATGCGAGGATCTGATAGGTATGTTCAGAATTTTGAGAAATGATTATTATAATTTTACTATAGTCAATCGTATAGATTCAAACTGCTGAATTCTTGAATTCGTTCCAATCTAACTGGCATTTGAAAAGAGCAATTAATTTTCTGCACGACAGTATAAAATATGCATGTGATTGATATACAAAAAATGGAGAAATTCGTGATTCAATATTTAGAAAATTATGAAATGTAGCATGCCTTGTACCATATCACACAGAAAGGACAGCATTACCTACATTTTAAAAACAAACCGAAAATTTCAATATGATCCTCTTATTTTGAACGCACTGTATTCTTCCAATACTTATAGAGGTGTAAAACCACAGAATACATACATATTACATAATTTTCTTTGAAATGTCGACTCTATCTCTATTGTTCTGTGATATGCAAATTGTAGCTTTTGAATTTTTGTTTGTATTTTGGGTTTAGAGATGGGGAGTAATACAGTCGCCAAAGTGCGTTTAAAGAAGATTCGAAGCCAAGTGCCAATGCGGCTTTATTTAATACTTACCATTGTTACTTGTTCATTTTAATTTTTTGTGATAAAAATAAAGGACACCGAAAATGTCTACCGAATTCTTACGTTACGAGGAACAACCCTGTGGTATAATTAAGCAGGGAAGCCATTTACCACACTCACGGATGTTATTTATCTGTGGATAAGGGTAAGTAAGTCAAAGTTCAATTTATCTATTGCATTTCGTTTTGTATACATTTGAAACAAGAATATAGGTACATTATATATAGATCAATTTGCGACCTCCTATTTCTAAATCTAGGGAAAAGAATTACATAAGAAAACACAGAAATTATAATTATTGGGTGTATACATATATATTTCCTGGAAAGTTGGTTCTTTGGGCATTTTAACTTAATTTATTGATTTTGAAAGTACAGATTGGATTTGCATTGCTTCACATTAACAAAAAAATTATTTTGATTATCATAAAAATATAACAACTTTTATTAGAAACATTTTTTCGAAAATTAACTAACAGACACAAATTAAAAAGACATTTTGAACTTTAAATGTGTCAAAAGAGCATTACGATTTTGAATAAACAAGAAGTAATGATAGGGGCCCCTAAATCCCAGTGCCCCAGTCTTGCTACGCCACTGTTTTTAAGTTGGTAACACTGAAAATCACAAATGACAGCTTCCATTTTGTGAGGTTATGATAACAGTTAATTGCTGCCTTTTCTAAACCCCTTAGAGAAGGTTGCATTGCATCTGGTGAGGATCTCATTTTCAGTATCGACGTCAATTAGCATTAACTGCCTTTTCCTATCAATTGGCGAGTAGCAATCAACTATCTTGTACACCCGAACGTAGAATCTACCCGTCGCTTTTCAATGTAACTTCTTTTTTCGTGTCGACTGCCGATTAACATCATGTCTTCGCAACTTTTGCACGTATCCCATACATTTTGAATATTGAAACCTTGTAAGTCTGACTACAAGAACTCCACATGATACCCTGGTGCTGTTCCAATGAGAATCACTAAAGTGAAATATTATTTTGATGCAAGCTATTATTATTATTTACCATTTATTGGGGATACTTTTCCAAAATGTGATTCAAAATGTTGGTAAATTGGCTATCCTTAAACTCTCTCCTCCAAAGAAATTCGTCGACGTGATGGGGTAGCATTCGAGCAGGTACTACTCCCATACGTCGGCAAAATTCCTCCAAGAGGCTCCGATAGCCCCCAATCACATTAGTGTGCACACCTGTAGCTGGATTTACAAAATCTCTACTATCATTAACAGTATGATGGGTATAAGGCGAAACCCCATCATAATTTTGTAAAAATTTATACCCCGTCCCTTCATCAGTCCAAATTTCGGTGCCGGGTAAGATCAAATTAGTCAACACACCTTTCAATGTTCTTTCACTCCTGTCATCCACCAGCGCAATCGTTCCACGTTCATCATTCACATCATACAACCCAACCACCCACTTTTCCTTCGCCAAACGCGCCTGATGGCACTTCCTTTTCGTCACAACCGATTCGTCAACTTGCACAACGTGACCTACACCACCCAACTGCCGAGACCTAATTTCGTTTAACAACTTCCACGAGCAAGTATCTCGAATAAAAGTATAATACTGCATAACAGTACCCCTTCGAAGTCCGAGATCTCTGCTAGCAGAATCGACACTAACATAACAACTCCACAGAAAAATAATTTTGAAAATATCTCTAACATCTAAACGCAATCCCTCAAAGAAAGTACCATCCGTTATTGACAAATAACCCCGTTTGCACTTCGAACACCTAAACGCATACCCACAATACATGCCAGCTTTCGGACACAATCGCATTTGTCTTCTGCACGTTCTTACCAGGCACCGTTTACTCTTTTTAAAAAATCCCAAATTTTGTAGGTTTTCAACAACCTCCCTCCCGTCTCTATTAAAAAAATCGTCAATTGACCCCATTCTACAAGCCTGCCTTATATCCATCAAGACTGGTATTTTGTAAACCCTGCCAAGTTGTACACAATAACGCAATTGTAAGCCTGAGAGTAGTTAAGGATAGCAACTTACCAAAATTGTGAATCACAGACGTAAATGTACGAGTAATATCAATAATTTTCGAAATTTCGAACGGCGTTTTTCTTAACGCCAAACAAATATTTGTGTATCAAAGGCAGTGCCTCAGTGGCCGTATTCTGTGGCCAGTGGTACCAACGTGGGAACAGTTAACTCATTGATTATACACAGTGTGTACAGTAAATTGTTGTATTTCACGAGCGGCACAGAGAGTAACTATTTCTAACTGCGGTGACGTTTCATGCGCATTTTTTACATCCTGACAAAAAATGTATAGTTTTACACAGTTCCATGATTTTTAAGTAAAAAAAAAGCAAGTACATTCAAAACAAGAGTATTAATTAATTTTTTAATACTTTAACGTGCACTTCGTGCCGGATCATTCTTGAGAAAAAAATTACTAACGAAATTCATACCACCAATTTAATAATGCAAAAAATTCAAATGATCATCCAGATCGTCATTCTCATTTCTAAACTAGGTATCTCGATTTTTCTACAGAATCACTCGTTATTAATCCGGAAAAGTTCTTTCTCTAAGTAATTAGCACTGTCCATCTAAACATTAGGCATTTATTACGATATAAAATGTACAGTGGGCCATTACACTACAGAGGTGGTGTTTACATTGCTGCTTTTGGATACCAAAATGGTATTCTTATACAAATATTGGAACTACTTCACAACAGAAACTGGAAACGATACTAAGCTTATGATATAATTCTAGGACGACTCGTTACCGGAAATGGAAACCCAGCTACTTTCCCTGCAACAACTCCATTGGTCAATCGGCGCCGACGTCTTGTGACCTGGCGATTGCTGTCATGAAACCGGCTGGTGGAAGCAGTCCATGGAGTGCAAATCTCCAGTTCATTGAAAGAGGTGAGTTAATCACAATATTTGTGACTTGAGAGGGAATGAAAGTTTTGGGGAAAGTCATTTCACTTTGCAATTTGTACGTGGTGTTCAGCAATTTTCTTTCCGCTTCGAAATATTACTCACAGCAAGAGCCAAAGATTGCTCAGAGTTGGTTTTGTACCGAGTTATAAATACCCTGCAGCGTTTTTCCATTTCATTGTTTAGTTTCCAAAATCCGAAAATCTTAACAATCTTCAGAACCTTCACAGTTTTTGGAATATATCTTACTCCTCATAATCTTTAGAATTTTCAAGACTAAAGAGCTCGTGGTATATAAATCGTCATAGAATTCAAATCTTATAGAAATGTTATATAGGGCGATTTGGGAGGAAATGGAAATACTTTATACACATGGTGTTGGAAGCAAAAGTAAGCAAAATACTTAAGCTCATTTGTTCAAGTCAGATTTTCATTTATTTCAGTAAATACTGAGAGGTTCCACCCTGTATATACAACTTATGACGATACATACATTTTTGAGAGTTGGCAACCATGCAATTTCTAGGTGGGGATAAAGTCACTAAATATATATATATATATATATATATATATATATATCTAGTGACTTTAGGTGGGGAAAGCTGCCTGCGCCACCTAGAAAGCACGAACGGGAGTTACGTTTGGCATCTTGTATTGAATGGCGGTCGTGAGCGCGTCGCCCCATAAATGTTTGTAGTTATTTTGTGTTATTTAATGCAGGTAGTAATTTTTGCATTTCTTTATATCGTATTTGTGTTTTGTTTGTCGCATTTTATATTTTGTGTGTTTCAATATTTGTTTTTGAAATTTACTTGGTTTAACCGCGATGCTCATATGTGTGATACCGTTATGCTATTGTTTGTAATTGTTTACATTTTTGGTGTAATGTTTGCTTAATTTATGTTTATTACTTGGTCTTGTCCCTGAAGTTGCATTCATATATAAGTTCTAATCATTTTTGCGGAAATTACCGATTCGTTTAATGTATGTATCTACTGACTTGTTGTTTGTTACTAACAATTTTCTCCGTGAATGAAGCAGTCACGAGGGTGGTCAAAACTGTAGTCAAATTTGTGTTACGACACCTAATTCCGTGATTGTCTTCGACATCCAACTGTAGGTTCGAAACCCCGAAACCAGGGACAGGAGCGAGATTACGCTAATCAAAGCTCTTCTGTTAATTACAATTAGGAAAATAATGCGTTTCTTTTGTTACAATAGCCTTTATGTTACTTTATACCAGCATTGTAACGGTGGGCCCTACGCGAGTACCGCGGTGTTAAGCCTACATTTGATGTACCTATGCAATGCATATTCAATCACTCTTTTGAAAAAGGCATAAGTATGTAATTTTGTGTCTTAAGTCAGAAGTTAGTTCTCCGCATAATCGCTAACACCTGAAGTTGGGAGGATGGTCCATGGCGACGACCTTCATCGCTACCATCACTAGCCACACTGAAACACAAGTCACTCACTTTACATTCAAGTGTCTGTGTGGTCGTCCCCCAATCCGCGACTTGGGTGTACATGGCCGATGGGTACCACCACACTTCCAAGTAAGTTTCATAAATAGCTACTGTCTGAATAATAGTCACACCCATTTTTAGCGCATTTTTGCAAATTTATTTGTAAAAAGTAGCTTTTAATCTCACTTTGGCTGGCTGGCTGGTTGGCTGGCTGTCTGGCAGCAAATGTGGGCGCGTAGAAGAACTCTTGTAGAAAGGTAACGGGTATACGTGTATCTGCAAGGCCGTGTAATTTGTCAACCTTAGGTACAGGGCTACATGATGTGAGGTTGGCGACATCTGGGCGTCATCCTCGGTTTTCCGGTATTTTCCTATCTTCTACTACAAGATGTTGTAAAGGCGCACAACTCCTGCGTGGCACTGTAAATTTTTAATTGTTCTGCTAGTCTTATGCCCAGTTGCACCAACAAAATTAAGAACCCTATGACAACGATTGTTGGTATTTAAGTTAACTTTATGGGATGCTTAATTTTGATGGTGCAATTGCCTGTAAAAGTCCCTCAGGGAGGATTGGAAATCTCACAGAGAGCACTTCATTTTCAGACCGAAGAATGTATGCGGGTTGTTCCAATAAGAAGTAAACCATTCGGTCACATGCCGTACCTGTCAGAGCCGCTCAAGAAATGTGGTCCGATCACGCTTCAGAGAAGTCCTTCGACTAGCACCATCAACATCCAAAGTCCACAAGCATCGGAAATCGCAACCAAGATATCCAGAAATTACAAGGAGCAGGTATGTTTTAAAATCGTACACCAGGAAAATAACTGTTTGGTTTTTAGATGACGTGTCCCGTGTGTTTTGATCTTATTTTTCTATGCAGCAACGACTGGGGGAATCAGATGTAAGTGTCCCATTTGCTTGAAAGTAGTATAAGAACTTTATATATATATCAAGTATTCAAGTATCAAGTATCAAGTATCAAGTATCAAGTATCAAGTATCAAGTATCAAGTATCAAGTATCAAGTATCAAGTATCAAGTATCAAGTATCAAGTATCAAGTATCAAGTATCAAGTATCAAGTATCAAGTATCAAGTATCAAGTATCAAGTATCAAGTATCAAGTATCAAGTATCAAGTATCAAGTATCAAGTATCAAGTATCAAGTATCAAGTATCAAGTATCAAGTATCAAGTATCAAGTATCAAGTATCAAGTATCAAGTATCAAGTATCAAGTATCAAGTATCAAGTATCAAGTATCAAGTATCAAGTATCAAGTATCAAGTATCAAGTATCAAGTATCAAGTATCAAGTATCAAGTATCAAGTATCAAGTATCAAGTATCAAGTATCAAGTATCAAGTATCAAGTATCAAGTATCAAGTATCAAGTATCAAGTATCAAGTATCAAGTATCAAGTATCAAGTATCAAGTATCAAGTATCAAGTATCAAGTATCAAGTATCAAGTATCAAGTATCAAGTATCAAGTATCAAGTATCAAGTATATCAAGTATCAAGTATCAAGTATCAAGTATCAAGTATCAAGTATCAAGTATCAAGTATCAAGTATCAAGTATCAAGTATCAAGTATCAAGTATCAAGTATCAAGTATCAAGTATCAAGTATCAAGTATCAAGTATCAAGTATCAAGTATCAAGTATCAAGTATCAAGTATCAAGTATCAAGTATCAAGTATCAAGTATCAAGTATCAAGTATCAAGTATCAAGTATCAAGTATCAAGTATCAAGTATCAAGTATCAAGTATCAAGTATCAAGTATCAAGTATCAAGTATCAAGTATCAAGTATCAAGTATCAAGTATCAAGTATCAAGTATCAAGTATCAAGTATCAAGTATCAAGTATCAAGTATCAAGTATCAAGTATCAAGTATCAAGTATCAAGTATCAAGTATCAAGTATCAAGTATCAAGTATCAAGTATCAAGTATCAAGTATCAAGTATCAAGTATCAAGTATCAAGTATCAAGTATCAAGTATCAAGTATCAAGTATCAAGTATCAAGTATCAAGTATCAAGTATCAAGTATCAAGTATCAAGTATCAAGTATCAAGTATCAAGTATCAAGTATCAAGTATCAAGTATCAAGTATCAAGTATCAAGTATCAAGTATCAAGTATCAAGTATCAAGTATCAAGTATCAAGTATCAAGTATCAAGTATCAAGTATCAAGTATCAAGTATCAAGTATCAAGTATCAAGTATCAAGTATCAAGTATCAAGTATCAAGTATCAAGTATCAAGTATCAAGTATCAAGTATCAAGTATCAAGTATCAAGTATCAAGTATCAAGTATCAAGTATCAAGTATCAAGTATCAAGTATCAAGTATCAAGTATCAAGTATCAAGTATCAAGTATCAAGTATCAAGTATCAAGTATCAAGTATCAAGTATCAAGTATCAAGTATCAAGTATCATCAAGTATCAAGTATCAAGTATCAAGTATCAAGTATCAAGTATCAAGTATCAAGTATCAAGTATCAAGTATCAAGTATCAAGTATCAAGTATCAAGTATCAAGTATCAAGTATCAAGTATCAAGTATCAAGTATCAAGTATCAAGTATCAAGTATCAAGTATCAAGTATCAAGTATCAAGTATCAAGTATCAAGTATCAAGTATCAAGTATCAAGTATCAAGTGTATCAAGTATCAAGTATCAAGTATCAAGTATCAAGTATCAAGTATCAAGTATCAAGTATCAAGTATCAAGTATCAAGTATCAAGTATCAAGTATCAAGTATCAAGTATCAAGTATCAAGTAAGTATCAAGTATCAAGTATCAAGTATCAAGTATCAAGTATCAAGTATCAAGTATCAAGTATCAAGTATCAAGTATCAAGTATCAAGTATCAAGTATCAAGTATCAAGTATCGTATCAAGTATCAAGTATCAAGTATCAAGTATCAAGTATCAAGTATCAAGTATCAAGTATCAAGTATCAAGTATCAAGTATCAAGTATCAAGTATCAATTATCAAGTATCAAGTATCAAGTATCAAGTATCAAGTATCAAGTATCAAGTATCAAGTATCAAGTATCAAGTATCAAGTATCAAGTATCAAGTATCAAGTATCAAGGATCAAGTATCAAGTATCAAGAATCAAGTAT